CGGCCCTCCTCCCTCCTCACTCTTAATGTCTAGGAATAATTATGAGAGATTTCTAATCATTCCCTAGTCTTTCAGCTGGCTAATTGATGTTATTTTAAGATTATCATTAGAAGTCCTTTTGGTTGGTGAAAGGTGCATTTGTGGTTAACCTGGATCTCAATGTCACTCTTTTTTTTTTGCGGGAAACAATGGGAGTGTATAACAATGAGTAGACATGTGTCTGAAACTGACCACACTGGATCCTTAGTGGCTTCAGACTGAAAAATTGTTTCGATTTAGTGAGTCACAATTCAATAATTTCATAATGTATTATTGTATTAAAGTTACCGTTCAAAAGTTTAAGGTCAGTAAATATTTTTTTTTTTATATTTGAGTCTCTTAGGCTCAACAAAGCTGCAATTATTTGATGAAGAATACAGGCATACTGTATTATGAAATAATATAACAATTTGTAATAACTGTTTTCTATTTGAATATATTTTAAAATGTAATTTATTCCTGTGATGCAAAGCTGAATTTTCAGCATTATTACTCCATATTTCAGTGTCACATCACATGATCCTTCAGAAATCATTCTAATATGAGGATTTGATTATCAAGAAACATTTATCAATGTTGACAACAGCTGTCCTGCTTTATATTTTTGTGATGAATATTTGCTGAATAAAAAAAATAAAAAAATAAAAAATTTAATGGGAGTTTAGGCCTACACATATTATAACAATATAGTTTTTGTGATCAACCGAATAAATCATCTTTGAGGCACCTATTTAGAGGTTTTGATGTAATGAATTATGACCTAAATTAAGTAATATTAATAAATAGACAAAAATATTCATTTAAAATCTGAAACTAATATCTGAATACCAAAAGTTATTTTAAAGCAAGTCGATTATTCTCTTTAGGGTCATTATATTTAGTGGAGATAACTGAACCATTGAAGCAGCAGCTGATCACTGAAGAACAGCTGTTACTGTCTTTAAAAGTGCATTTACCCCATCTACTGGTGTACAGCTGTACACATTCATGCTGATCCCTGTCTATCTGACAGCACTAGGCAAGGAAATGCAAAGCAAGTTTATTTATATAGCACATTTCATACAAAGTGCTTTAAAATGAATTGGAGTAAAATGAATTAAAGTAGTAAAAAGATGATACATAGAATAAACTTCTCATCTGGCAAAACACCGGTGTATCTTATTTTGCATATAAGTCCATTGGACGTCTCCGATGGACCCGATTCTTCCCTAAAATCGGACAGGAAGAGCTCTAGGACTGACTCCGGTTCACTGCCCCATCAGTCCGCACCCCCCCCCCCCAAACCCCCCACCCCCCCCCCCCCAAAAAAAAAACATTTGTTCAGAAGCTCTAGGAATTGAGTCGATCCAGTCCGCACCCCACAGAACCTCGAGTTTAATTGACACATCAAACTTATTACTCCACCACAGACCCAGGTCATCAGCATGGTTTCATCTCTCAATTTCTCCAATTAAGTCATTTATGTTTGTCTCTTATCCAATTTTCAGTGCCATTTGAGTTTAGAATCGAAAGGAGGATGCAGAAATCAAATACAGTGTCAGTCGGACGTACAGTGGCACAGTACTCATTCAGTAAATCCACAGCTGTTTTGAGGCTGGATTTGAATGTGACTACTGTAGGAGCACATCTGATCTCTTCTGGAAGCTGGTTCCAGCGGTGGCTTGCACAGTAGCTAAAAGCGGACTCACCTTGCTTAGAGTGAACCCTCGAAGTGAACCCTTGGTATTTCTAGCTGATGTGATCCTAATGATCTGAGTGATCTGTTAGGTTTATATTCAGTGAGCATATCTGCAATGTATTGAGGTCCTAGGCCATTGAGTGATTTAATACCAGTAATAATACTTTAAAATCAATCCTAAATGTAACTGGGAGCCAGTGTAAAGACCTGAGGACTGGTGTGATATGGTCATATTTTCTGGTTCTGCTCAGGATCCTAGCAGCAGCGTTCTGTATGAGCTGCAACTGTCTTATGGTCTTTTTAGGAAGGCCAGTGAGGAGTCCATTACAATAATCCACCCTGCTGGTGATGAAAGCATGAACCAGTTTTTCTTAGTCTTGTCTGGAAACAAAGCATCTAATTCTTGCAATATTTTTCAGATGATGGTATGCTGATTTAGTTATTGCTTTGACATGACTACTGAAACTAAGGTCTGACTCTAGAGACACACCAAGATTCCTGACTTGATTTTTAGTTGTTAGACCCCTAGCGTCAAGGTATGCATTCACCTTGAGAACTTCATCTTTGTTTCCAAACGCAATAACTTCAGTTTTGTCTTTGTTTAACTGAAGAAAGTTGTGGCACATCCAACTGTTTACTTCATCAATGCATTGGCACAGCGAGTCAATGGGGCTGTAGTCGTTAGGCGATAGGGCTAAGTAGAGCTGTGTGTCGTCTGCATAGCTGTGGTAAGAGATTCAGTTCTTTCTCATTATTTGGCTCATTGGGAGCATATACAGGTTGAACAGGAGTGGCGCAAGAATTGAGCCTTGAGGGACTCCGCATGTCATGGTTGTCCACTCAGACTTATAGTCTCCTATACTCACATAATAACCTCTCCCTTCTAAGTATGACCTGAACCATTTTAGGACTATACCAGAAAGCCTGACCCAGTTTTCCAGCCTGTCAAGAAGTATGTTGTGATCGACAGTGTGAAATGCAGGACTGAGGTCGAGAAGTACCAGAATTGATGTTTTGCCTCATTCAGTATTCAAGCGAATATCGTTTATTATCTTTATGAGCGCTGTCTCTGTGCTGTGATGCGGTCGGAAAGCAGATTGAAAATTGTCTCCATTTGAGATTAAGAATTTGTTCAGCTGATTGAAGACAACCTTTTCAATGATCTTGCTTATGAAAGGAAGATTTGAGATTGGTCTGTTATTGCTCAATATGTTGCTATCCAGATTGCTCTTTTTCAGGAGGGGCTTGACAACTGCAGTTTTCAGGGACTTGAAAAGTCCCATAGAGAAGTGGGGAATTTACCACTTCTAGGAGATCTGCTTCCAAGCAGTTTAACACACTTTTGAAAAAGGAAGTGGGGATTGTGTCAAGGGCGCAGGTGGATGTTTTAAGGTGCTGTACGGTTTCTTCCAAAATTTTACCACTAATTTCTTCATAATCAGACATACTTTCTGCTAACGGCCTGGTCTGTCTGACCTCAGTGCCACATGAGGATATGCTGATCGCCTTTCTGATATTATTGATTTTCTCAGAGAAGAAGGAAGCAAACTCACTGCACTTGCTGTCTGAGAGCATTTCACTGGGAATGCTTGGGGGGTTTGTTAGACTCTCTACAGTAGCAAAAAGAGTGCGTGTTTATAATATTTGAGAAGAATATTTGAGAAGAAAGTCTGTCTAGCTTTGCCTAGTTCCACATTGAAAGCATGAAGGCTGTCTTTATAGATGTTATAATGGACTAAGTTTTGTCTTCCGCCACATGCGCTCTGCTTTTCTGCATTGTCTTTTCAGTACCACTCTGTACTTTTGAGTTAAAGGACTCAAGGAGAGAATCAAGAGTCCGCAGATATGCTTGGTGTTAAAGATATGGCCTTCATAAATAGCACACTAGTGTTCTCATTTAAGCATCTCTTCTTGACAGACAGATCTAGCTTCAATACTAGGAGAGATCAATATGTCAAAGAAAATACAGAAATGATCAGACAGTGCTATAATAACGATTATAGTGATATAAGTGCGATTAATAACAATCGATGAGATGTTTAGACCCTTACTGATAAGTAAATCTAGAGTGTGTCCATGATTGTGTGTGGGTCCATGTACATGCTGAGTCAGATCAAAAGTATTTAAAACAGTTTTGATTTCTTTTGCCATATTGTTTTCTGCATTATCTATGTGAATGTTAAAATCTCCAGCAATAGCAAAACAGTCAAACTCTGAGGAAATTGTTGATAACAGTTCTGTAAAGTCCTCAGCGAAGGCTGGAGAGTTTTTTGGAGGCCTGTAAATAATAAGTAAAATGCGTGGAGCACCTTTTAACACAATACCCAGATATTCAAAAGATGGGTAATTCTCAAATGATACTTGCTTACATTGATAGACATCTTTAAATGAATGAAATAACTTGAAATTATTGTTTATTTTTTTACCACAGAACCCCTTCCAGACCCATTCATTAATAGTTTCTTTAGAAAATCATCTTTTAAAATCTATTTAAACTGACTGATACATACAGGTATGGGTCATGAGATGATGTTTACACGTGTAAATCCAGCTAAATAACCTTTATTTGGTCAAATGTATCTTTTAACAATGAATGAGAAGCAATGTTTTTGATAAAAAATACTTTTATTAGAGCTAGAAGATGCTTTACGGATAAATACAAGTGAATTATTTCAACATAGTTCTTGTCTTCATTAAAACCATGAAAGTCTTTAATGACAGTGAAAAATCAAAAGCAGAATGAAGCAGATGCACATGGCGGAGAGCGGACTGTTAATGAGCCAAGACTCCCAAATGAGGCGTTGCAGAACTAGACCCCGTCAGCAATGCCTTCTAATCCAGAGGAAATGCTCCAAACCACACGGCGTTTTCACCACGACGTCTGACAGATTGCTTGTTGGAGATGAATAACACGCTCGATTTATACATTGCTGTGAGGGACAACATCTTCCTTCTGCACGAGCAAAAGAGTTAAGGTTTACGCACACACAAGCTTTGAAGTAACGCCATGTTAAACTAAAACAGATTCGCTAAGCTCCTGCAAAATAATGAGGCAAATGTTAATCAGGAAGCAGACGCCCCTTATCAAAAAGCTTCCTAAATGAAGTGGGTTGCCTATGAGACTGTTTCATTTATATTTGTCATTAAAAAAAGAACAATTGTTTACGTCTAATGTTCACATAAAACGTTAATGTGAGGTATGTCTAATGAGCTGGTACTTCACACCAAAGAGGTGTTTATTGAATACATGTGCACTGTTCAAGATGATGAAAAGAAAGATTTGCTAAGATAAAAACAGTAGATCACAGTCCATTTCCTCTTCGCTGTTTTCATTATGTTCTTTGACGCTTTGGCAACAGTCTGTCACAGAATCGTCCTGCGTCCTTTTCCTCCTCCGTCTGTAGATGGGTTTCTTGTCGGCCTCCTCCTTTAAACTACATCTCTGTTCTTGAGGTTGTAGGGCACCTTGTAAGCACTCATAGAATCTATTTCAAATACATATAAATATAGAATTACTATCATATTAAAATACTTAAAGTCCCCCTGTGGTGAAAATCAAGCTTTTTAATGTTGTTTATACATCTATGTGGTGTTTTTAATATGCTTTAAGACAAACCATGTGCAAATTCATCAGTCAGTCAGCACCATTGCTGAGTATTTCCTCTTTAAACCTGCGGTGAACCAAAGGCAGTCTCAAAAACGTGGTTTGAAATCACTAGTGTTTCTGACGTCACTAACCACCTTGTAACCAATCAGGTCAACGGGCCGGCGGACTTTAGCATATCATTAACAGCAAACTAGCAGGGGAGTGCTATATTTTTTCGTTGATATGAAAAATCGGGTAGATTTAGCAATATAGCGGGTGTATGATGATGTATATTACATTGTTATGATGAACTATATGCCTTTCTTCACTGACGTTCTGAGTTGTTCAAAGCGTTTCTGATGATTGTTAGAAGGCAGACTGAGATGGCGAACGGGAACATGGTTTGTGTAACATTAGCAACACATTATTAGCTGTTTGATAATTTAGTCAAGCAAAAGGCTAATCATATTAATTACCATTATGTGTCCGATGATGTAAAGAGCGATACCATTGAGCAGCGTTTACCTCAGTAAGTTGGCCGAGTCAATCTGTGAGCTGGTGTGAGTGAGTGGAGGTGGGGCTAATTAGCATATTCATGATTCCTCTATACTAAATGAAGCAAGGGTGTAGAGTTGCATTCAAGCTATTTTAAGGCATGAAGAATTTTTTTTCAAAGGAATTTAAATTTAAATGTTTAAATATGTCATTTTGGTGATCAAAGATGAGTTTTAAGGGATAAAATTATTTTATTTTTTAATTAAAAAAATGTTGTGTTCATTGGAGGGGTCCAAGACCCCATGACTTTTGTCGCACTTGAACCATGAATACACACACACACGAAAAAATGGATTTGAGGAGTTTTGTGGTTGAAATGTAAAAAAGTAACAAATCCGGTCAAATTGACCCCCATAGGAATGAATGGAATGCGATGAATGCTTCAGTACACATAGAAAACCCTAAACATGCTCAAAATTCAAACTAAAAACTTTACCCAAAAAATGATTTTATAATGTCTGCATACCTGAATGCATACTGATGTCAAATAACTTTAGAACCCAGAGGAACAGCTCATTTGCTCCAAATAGTGCTATGAGGCCATCTAGTGGCAAGAGTCATGAAATATCATGTTATATTATTTATTTTTCCACAAGAGGTCTGCAAAGACCAAATGTAAGATATTTTGAGCTGAATTAAAAGGTTTAGGCATGAAATTGTGAGTTATTTTGAATTTAAGTTGAAAGAATGTGAGGAATGTGCTTAAATTACTATTTATTGATTAAATCTAGTAATATAAAGGTAAATAAAATAAAAAATCTCCCAAAAAAATAGAAAAAATTTGTTCTGGACAAAAAAAAAAAAAGAGTATAATTTTAGGGCTTCGGGTCATTTTGACCCGCGAGGGAAGGATTTGTTACAAAACGCGAGGGAAGGATATGATTCAGTTACACGTTGTTTCATTTAATTGTGGAAATAAATGGAAAAAAACAACATTAAAAAGTTTAAATCTAATATTTAATTTAAAATAATAATATTCTGGTCACTAATTTAAATAAATGTAACTAATTCAAAATATTAATTAAAGTATAATTAATAAAAAATATAATAGCATCTCGATACTAAATTAACACGGGTACAGACCAAGGTGCCCTTTAAGACAATAATTTAATAATTCAACTATTTCAAACACCTAAATTGCATTAAATAGCATCAATTTAAATAAGAAAACTTGTGTGCAAACACAGAAGGAAACTCTGCTTACAATATACCTCTCTATTCTTTTAAGATTTTCTTCCATCTTCTGGTTCGCAACTCCGACGAGGAAATCAAGGTACTGGTCAGTGGTGAGGACGTTCCCCTTGTGGCTGAGTGGAACCTCAAGACAATGTGTGCTGCGTACCGCCTATACAACCAACAAACACATTTCAAAGACCTTTCAGAAGTATCTTCAATGCTGAACACAAAGCACACTTTGCATCTTACCATGATGATCTTGCCTTTCTTTCCCACAGTTATACCAGAATTCCTAAGGCCTGAGTTTATTGCAACAGTGTGCTGAGGAAGGAACAAACCATGAAAAGCAAGTTATTATTTTGTCCTCCTTTAAACATCTTGATGTCTCATTCTAATTCAGTGTGACATTTACCAGTAGTTGTGCATCGCCAAGCTGTTTACACTGAACGTGAAGGACAAAAGGCTCAAACTTGAAAGTGGCATCTCCAACAGACTTCTCCAGACCTGCGACCTGTTTCAGAAAAACGCAAAGCTTTAATATCGGGGTCATTTATTACTGTACATTTGTCACATGTCTTTAATGCTGTATTTCTCACCACATCTTCTCTTTGGCACTTCTGATGAGTGACAAATAACCAGGAACAGTTTCGCTTTTGCACATCAAGGCAATCTGACACCTTAAATGAAAGCATACCACACAGTGACCAATAGACAATACTAGTTATCATATAACCTTAAAATACTTTGATTTAAATGCTTGAAAGTTTTGTAGACAAATATAAAAGTAGCCTGCCGTGTTGGTACTACTTCATAGCCTTGATGACTTTAATTTTACTCTAAACTGTGAAATCTGAGTAAGCGTGTACAAAACTTTGATCGATAGTCTTATAAAAACCATATGGTTGACAAATAATACACCAGACAAATAAGTGTGTTTTTGCTTAAAACAATAAAAAACGATCTAAAAAAAACAATAAAAAAAGAAAAATAATTTCTTAAGTTTACCTTTTTAACCTTTTTTTAAACTCGAACTAAATATCTTAAAGGGATAGTTCACCCAAAAATTAAAATTCTGTCATCATTTACGCACCCTCAAGTTGTTCCAAACCTGTATGAATTTATTTCTTATGCTGAACACAAAGGAAGATATTCTGAAGAATATGAGTAACCAAACATTTGTGGGGCACCATTGAAAAAACATTATACTATGGAAGTCAATGGGGTCTGTGTTTGGTTACTCATATTCTTCAGAATATCTTCTTTTGTGTTCAGCAGAAGAAATAAATTAATACAGGTTTGGAACAACTTGAGGGTGAGTAAATGATAGCCTAACAGAATTTTATTTTTTGGGTGAACTATCTCTTTAAGTCATTTTGCTTCTCGAGTAACTAAATGTACCTTGGTTTAAGAATGTTTGGATATTTGTACTGGAAAGTAAGTAAAAAAGTAAGAAAATTATTGGTTTGCCGAGTAGACAACAGTCAATAAACGTTTCCCAGGCTCACCCCGTCAAAAAGGATGATTCTTCCGGAGCAAGAGCTTGTCGTGAAGTACCGATCATGACTGTTAATAAAGGAGACGATATGAGAAATATCCTCATCCACACTGCCCTTCTTACTGAAATCACACTTATTAAGACACTGATTCTTCCATTGCTGAAATGTATCGCCCTCCATGTTTCGAGACTATTGATGTATTCGTTTTATCTTCTACCGACCTTTAGAATAATATAATAAAGCAATGCAGTCAGATTTTAAATGATTAATCAAGTTTTGTTGTAGATTTGCTATACCGCATGTGTCATGTTTGTGTTTTGAGTGCGAGTGCGAGTGCACGTCGCTCGCCACGGTCGGGTACGGTGGCCGGGATGTGCCCAAACTCATTTCATACGGAAGCCGAGTAAGCTGCTGCAACCTGCGTCTTTTACTATCTATGGTGGAAGGTGAACACATTTATGGAGTGCCGTTTTCTTTAGTTTCGCGACGCTGTGCAGAGTTATGTGTGCTATATGGAATATATGATCATTTCTATTCAGATGTACTAATTCATTGTTTGCTCTTTTTTAACTGTGCAATATCCAGCCAAAGTTCAATCTGCTTTGCCAATCCATTTGTTTTGCAGAGGCCACCATGGCCACATCTAAATTAATGAGGGCTATCAGGGTGTCAGAGTTTGGAGCCCCTTCAGTTTTAAAACTCTACACAGACCTACCTGTGCCAAGTCCTCGCCAGAAACAGGTGGGTCATCTCAAAACAATCTTGACTTTTTTTCTGATTACAGAATGTTTTGAATTCAGTTCAATTTGGGATTTCAGTTCAAGCTGATGGGAATTATTAATTACCATCCTCCTGACATTATTACTACTGATCTCAACGGACAACTTGATTTGTTGTTTAATGTATTCTATTTTATGAATTATTCTGTCAACCGCTTTTCAAAACACACGCCTGGTCTGGCTAAAATCAATACATTATGCTATTTAATCATTTTTATTTAACTTCTTTCGCACAAGCATCGTGTATTAACCATGTAAAACAACCACGTGAAAAAAAGTAAATGTAAATTATTAACTGTTTCAGTTTGATGGGGAGATCAGTTCAGCTTTTTCCTCTGAACCTTGACCTTGAAGGAATTTTTCCACAACAATTTGCATGGTCTACTAGCTTTCAATATTGGGAGCACATATTACATGCCATAATAAAGGGACAAACATTATTTTTGAATTGATTTATGTTATAAACTACTTATTTTGCTTCGTGCACACTTTTTAGACCTTGCACTAATGCTTAACCCAGGAAAAAAATAAACAACTGTAGCATTAGTATCCAAACCCATTAGACTATATGTACACTGGTCAATGTTTATATGTTGTGAATAAAAGCCTAGATTAAATCTGTTCATCAAATTAGGCGATTGTGTGTCTCCAAAATACTTTGATTAAACTTCTTGATTCATATTGATTACAAAAGTGTAAATCAAAAGTGTTGGCAACATGGACTCGTTTCAACTTTAAAAGAGTCAAATCATTTCGCATAGTTAGGCTATTGAATAATGTCTTTTATATGACGTTGCTTGAATATCTGAAGGACATGTTGGTCATCATGTTTAGAGAATGATCTAGAAAACCCAGTTTCACTTTTTTTTTCACAATGAATATTTATATACATACATTAACTTAATTAATCAGTAGCTATTATTGTTGTCTTTTCCAAAGAGCTGTGTAAACGCTTTCTGCTATTACAGGTTCTGATTCGAGTCCATGCGTGTGGCGTAAACCCAGTGGACACGTACATCCGCTCTGGATCCTATGCTCGGAAACCCAGCTTACCCTATATTCCAGGATCAGATGTCTCTGGTGTGGTGGAAGCTGTCGGGGAGGGTGTTCATCTCCTACGGGTCAACTTGTTACCCATCTTGCACACTCAACACATGATGTTTACTTGTTTGCTTTGCATGGATAGCAATCTTTTCTGTTTTCACAGGCAGGTGACAGAGTCTTCGCCACAGGAACTGTGACGGGAGGATACGCTGAATATACTGTGGCCTCAGAGGACACTGTCCACAAGCTGCCTGATTCCCTAGACTACAAACAGGGTGCAGCTCTCGGAGTCCCATATTTCACTGCGTACCGGGCGCTAGTTCACAAGTAAGATGTTATCAATGATGACTGTAAAAGACTGCATTGGGAGTTGTTTTCTGGAGCTATGTAAACATAAAAGGCATACAAATGTTCTTTTGCTCTAAACAGGGCTCATGCCAAAGCCGGAGAGACGGTTCTTATTCATGGAGCCAGTGGTGGAGTATGAAGTTCAACATTTCCCTTAACATTTCAAAAATGATTTGGATGAATTAGACTTGTAAAGTACAGTATTCTCCTGATGTCTTGAATGATTTGAGCTTGTATTTGTAGGTAGGCATTGCAGCGTGTCAGATGGCACGAGCGTTTGGCCTTACAGTTCTGGGAACAGCTGGGACATCCGAGGGGATGAAGCTGGTGCTCAGCAATGGAGCTCATCTAGCATTCAACCACCGAGAAAAAGACTACCTGGAGAAAATTAAGGTTTAGTTCTCTCTTATTTAAGTTTTACACAATATATACAGAACACTGTTGGGTTGGTAAGGCTTTTAAAAAATATATTTTTTATAAAAAAATCTCTTCTGCTGACCAAGGCTGCATTTGTTTGATCAAAAAATAAACTGTAAAAAACAGTAATATTGTGAAATATTATTACAATTTAAAATCACTGTTTTCTATGTGAATATCTTGTTAAATGCAATTCATTCCTGTAATGCAAAGCTGAATTACTTCTGCCAGTCTTCAGTGTCACAGTCATGATCCTTCAGAAATCATTCTAATATGATGATTTGCTGCTCAAGAAACATTTCCTATTATTATCAATGTTGATGAAAACAGTTGTGTTGCTTAAATTGTGGAAACAGTGATTCTTTTTTTTTTTTTCAGGATTATTTGATGAATAGGAAGTTCAAAAGAACAGCATTTATTTGAAATAGAAATCGTTGTTAAAGTTTATATATGTCTTTACTGTCATTTTTAATACATTTCTTAGTTAATTTATCTAGGTTACACTTTATTTAAATGGTTCACTTTAGACATTCTACTAACTATACGTCACTTGTCAACTACATGTCAGCTAACTCTCAGAGTATTAGTAAACTGTTAGGTTCGGGTTAATAGAATAAGTTGACATGTAGTTGCAAAGTTACTTACAGTGTGGAGAATGTCTGTTGGGGAGCATCAAAATAAAGAGTTAGCAGATATTAAGCAGACAGTCTGCTAATACTCTAATGAGAGTTAGTTGACATGCAGTTGCAAAGTAGAATGTCTAAAGCGAACTATTGAAATATTAATGAAGTCTTAATAAAGTATATATTAAGCATATAAAAAGACAGAATAGAACATAAGTTTTTATAATAGCTGGTGTGTGTTCAGAATGCTACCAATGGACAAGGCGTGAACGTGATCATTGAGATGTTGTCCAACGTCAACCTCAGTAATGATCTTCAGTTGCTTGGCTTAGGTGGTAGAGTTATGGTAAGTACCTTGTGTTTGTTTCGCGGCTGTTTTTGTGCATACTGTCCAATTATTACATTGTTCGTTCTTTTTAGATTGTTGGCTCTAGAGGCCCTATTGAGATCAACCCCAGAGACACCATGATGAAAGAGACCAGCATCATTGGCGTGGCTTTGTACAATGCAACTAAGGTACACTGGGCTTCCCGTGCAGTTTCTTGCTTTCTGGTGTTTGTACTCATTATGAATTTACTCCTCACCTTTGACACATCTTTTTAATGGTAACTTAAAAGACTGTTGTCTTTATCTGTGTTTTTCACAGAGGGAAACATTAGAGTGTGCTGCGGCTCTTTTTGCAGGAATGGAAGCAGGCTGGTTGAAACCTGTCATTGGTCCACAATATTCACTTGATAAAGTGGCCCAGGCTCACGAAGACATCATCGGCAGTTCTGGAGCCAGTGGAAAGATGATTTTGATCATGTGAAATTAGTCAGGAAGTGGAAATCCTGAACTGTCTTTGCATTAACTGCCACATTTGTACTTCATTGTTGTATTCAGCTATATGAAATTTTCATGTATGAAACAAATTATAGAGACCATCACAAGTGAAAACATTAGTTCAGCAAATGTTTTGTGGAAATTAAATTGAACAAATGGATGATAATTAATCATACTATAAATAACATGAATTGTATATTACACAAATAGACAGTAACAGGCCTAAAATTGTGCACATTACTGATTTTAATGAATGTTTTAATGAATGTAGGAAAAAATGACGTTGACGTCGAAGATCTCAAAAATGAAGTTTTTTACAAGTACACGAAGCACCTTGGGTTCACCGGCGTCAGAATGAACATCCAAATCTTATACCTTTTATCCTATTACAGTTTACCACTGTACCACTGTAAATGAAGTTGCTCTTGTTGTAATAGCAGTGGTCTTTATGTTAATGAAGTTGAGACACCTCATTGTCTGAGATGGTTCTCTGTGTCCCACAACCATTCCCATTCTACAATTGATGACCATTTGCTCAGGATGTGATAAACCCAAATGGTGAAGAAACAATATAACTTGACTTCCTTCATCTCTATGATAATTAGGCCATTTTGGGGATGAACTCATTCTGAAATATTTTTTGGAGTGGAATCTGGGTCGAGGCAGACCACAATTTCTTACAATGATTAGTAGATAAAAACCAACACAGTAACCATTTGACTGCTGATTGGCTGTAAGTCTGCCTCTGTATATGACAGATGAAACCGTGTAAGGTGAACCTGTGTGTGTTCTTGGCTATCTGGCATCAGTGTTGGACACTACCACATTTCTGAGATCAGGTGACACGCTGGTTCAACGCATGCTCCGTTTACACGTAACCATACACAACCCCACTGCAGATCTCTGAGACACAGCGTCACTGGGACAGTGGAACCACTGATGAACTAATACTGAAGAGAGGTTTGCAATTTAACTTCTTTGGACTCAGGATATGGATATGAGTGTTTGACATTTTGCCTTCTCAATTGTGGTAAGCACAGAGTGTTTGGATATACTTAGCATATAGTCAATTTATCAATAAAAATTCTCAAGAACTTGGCTTGAATGTGCCTGAATGTAACCCAAGTTAGTATTTTACAGACTTGTGTAGATGTATCTGATAGCAATATTTGTGTAAATTTTATGAACATAATACAGTATATGATATTATGAATTGGTACTGTATATACACTACCTTTTTAACATTTGGGGTCAGTAAGAAGACATTTATAATGGTACAAAAAATGTTTGTTTTTGTTTTTTTCCACACAAAAAAATTAAGCAGCACAATTTTGAACATTGAAAATAAAGAAAATGTTTCATGAGCATCAAATCATCATATTAGAATGATGAAGACTGGAATAATGACACTGAAAATAAAAAAAAGCTTTGCCATCACATAAATAAATTACAATTTTTCCATAATATTAAAATAGAAAACGGTTATTTTAAATTGTAATAATATTTTGAAATATTACAGTTATTCTTGTATTTTCGATCAAATAAATCCAGCCTTGTTGAGCAAAAGAGACTTTTAAAAAACAAACAAAAATCTTTTTAATGCCTTTTGATTTTATAAATGAATTTAAAAAAAAATTCACTCAATTTTGCCACTGAACCACAGTTTTATAGGGCTGTATTTTGTGAAATATGATGTGAAGCAAGACATTTCCTTGAGGATGAGGAGACATATTATTGTGGCAGGTGTTTCTAGTGTTCTCACACACTAAATATCGAGCAGAATCACCTGCACAGAAGCAAACAGGTGGAAGATCATGCATGTTTTATAACTACACCTTCCTCATCTGTCTGGCAGTCAGCGTCTCCAGGCAACAGAGGTCAGAGGAGCACAGCATCCAAAACAGAAGAAAAACACAGGACAACTAGTTATCAATGAGTGCTATTACGAGTTGGGAAGGTTGACTGAATGTAGATCTTGACTGATTCTGTTGTGCTTTTGTTGACAGGCTATTGCTTTTTGCTTTGTTTTTGAGGATAAACGTTGTGGCCTGAACCAAGCTGATCGAAGGTCATGGACCACATAACCCATTTTGGAAGTCCAATACTGGCTTCAATCTGACTTCAATGGCAAATCATGAGAAGTATGTGCATAGTTTTTCAAGGAGAGCTGATTCTTCATGTATTCTCCATTAAAATAAGGTCAGGAAAAATCTGTCAGACTAACATGAGGTGAACTCTATACTAATGGTTCCTCTCAGGTATCTGCCTTCTACTGATGCTGACAGTCACTCAAGTTCAGCTGTCGTCACTCTGCCCCGCTTCCTGTTTGGTGTGTACTGAAGATGTCATCATCTGTCATAAACTCTCAAGAATCATTGGTAAGTAAAGTATTATGCGGCTGAAGAACTTGAGTACTTAATTTAAAGGGATAGTTCACCCAAAAATGAATATTCTGTCATAATTTACTCTCCCTCGTCATTCCAAACCTGGCTTTCTTTCTTCGGTGTAACATAAAAGAGGGTATGTCCTAAAAGAATATGTCCCAGTATATTTTTGTCCATATACAGTCAATGGGGACCAATAGTGTTTTTTGACCCCATTGTATGGACAAAAACAGTTCTTCAAAATTTCTCTTGAATTACTTATGAGGGTGAGTAAATGATGACAGATTAAAATGTTTTGGGTATATTTAAGTACACCGAAGGCAGATGGAAATACATTTTTAACCCTAAAGCCTACTGTATCATATTTGATACGCAAAATCCTATGGCCTCTGAACTGTTCTACACAATCTATACATGCCTTCTGTCATCTGATTGATATTTTATAATTTTGTAGAAAGTAAATGGCCTTTTAGTATAATTATAAAAACCTTCAGGTCGTGGTCTTTTTGCTGTGAAATCTTTACTGACTTTTATACAGTAAGAAACGTAAGAATGCATTTTATATTGTTAGTAATATTTTAGAAATAAGCACTTAGTAGACTGAAGCAACTTAGGTTTACTTGATTATCCATACATCGTTTTTTAGAAAAAATCAATGAGTATAATAATATGACATATTAATCTGATATAATCCGATGCATTTTATCCGTAAGTAGTCAGCTAAAGATCGAATTGATTTACATTAAGCTTTTAGAATTTCATCATACTTTCGTCCATATAAATATCAGCAACTGCACTAAATTGCATATTTTTACTCGGTTTGGGCCTTGATGATTTATGAGCTTGAGCTCCATATTCTCCTATATCATACTATATGAGCCATAAAAGAATGAATCAAATATGATACTCAACATAAAAACTTTATTTTATCCATATATATGTTGTCTAAAGGTTCAATAAACTGTTCCATTTTAACAAAATAGATTTTGACTACTATTTCATATATGTCACTCATTATAAAATGCTGGGTTGTTTTAACCCAACTTTGGGTCAAATATGGACAAACCCAAACGTTGGGTTAAAAATGTAATTAAAAAATGTAACCCAATGGCTGGGTTTGTACATATTTGACCCAAAGTTGGGTTAAAACAACCCAGCATTTTTTTAGAGTGTTTGGATGGAGTTTGGATAATATACTTTTTTTTTTATATATATAGTTTTTGTTTTCTTCATCATGTTCAGATGCACCAGGCTCTACTAAAGCTTTGATGCTCACTGATGGCCTCATTGATTCGGTGGACAACATGGTTCTCTCTGATTTATCCAACATGAGTGTTCTGGCACTCAGCAACAATGCCATCTCCAGCATCGAGCAGAATGCGTTTCAGAACCTCACTTTCCTTTCGACACTGTCGCTGGACCACAACCGCATCTCCAGTCAAACCCTGGACAGCTCCACGTTCTCCTGGCTTCACAGATTGGAGACCCTCCAGCTTGGGAACAACAATCTGAAAGACATTGACGGCTTCTGGTTTCAAAACTCTAGTGCTTTAAAAACACTTCAGCTAGAGGGGAACCTCTTTACAGTCTTGAACTCCACCACCTTTGCCCACGCGGACCTGAGGAACCTGGAAACGTTGGACTTGTCCGACAACCTCATCGTGTACGTAGGCAGCGATAGCTTCCGAGGACTGCCTCGTCTCCACAGCCTCGATCTGTCCCGAAATCATCTGCGCACCGCTCCGGATGCCTTCTCATACCTGTCGGGGCTCTCAGTGCTGAACCTTGAGTTGAACCGCTGGAGCTGTACGTGTGAGTTGAGAGAGCTGGCCTCGTTCCTCAACAGCTACATTCAGGCTCCTGAGAAAGTGTTGTACAATGGGCAGAGGATGGTGTGTGTGAACACAGATAACCCAGCTGTGCAGACTGTGCTGGAGCTGACTGACGCCAACTGTGTCCCGCCAAACAGGAATATCACAGTGGAGGTTGTGGCTAAAAGTAATAACACTTCCCAGCAATACATTAGAAATGTTGCCATTGCCATTGTGTTTTCATTTTTCGGTGAGTATCTGCAAAAGCTTGATACCAAAACATGTTCATTATAGAGTCAATGATGCTTTATTAATTCTATTCATTTGACTCAGGTCTCTTAATGTATTCAAAATAAAGATTAAAATAATTACATTTTTGAAAAGAAAAATGTTTGGCATAGCAATTTATTATTATTTTTAGTGTTTTTGAAAGATGTCTCTTTTGCTCATCAAGCCTGCATTTATTTGATCAAAAATACAGAAAAACTGTAATATTGTGAAATATTATTACAATTTATAATAAAAATGTTTTATTTCTGTGATGCAAAGCTGAATTTTCAGCATCATTACTCCAGTCTTCAGTGTCACATGATCCTTTAGAAATCAATCTAAAATTATGATTTATTATAAATGTTGGAAACATGAAGTGATATCATAGAGAGGACCCTTGCAGACCCTCGTGACTGTGTGTCATGGTTAATCAGTCTCTTAAATATTTGATTTTAAGATGTTGCCTTTTATTTATTTTATGGAATCACTTCATCGGTTCTGTTTTTAATTTGTAGGAGGTGTTGGGATCACTCTGGGAATGATTGCCATAGCATACCACAAACTCAGTAAGAAATTTAAACTTGCTCAGGAGGAGTGTAGAGCTGAAGAGAGGCACACGTCCAGCCCGGAAACAGCCCAGTGGAATTTCTGCGAAGGCAAGGACACTCTATCCATGAGCCGTGCGCTCTACAACAGCAACTACAAATCCCATCAGCCCTGCGAGGGAGAAGACTCCCCTTATCTGGGATCAGACGCTCTGGAGAATCATTTCACCTGCCACAAGTGCAGCTCCACAGCCCTTTCCGTAGGAAAGCACAAAAGAGAGATTGTCCTGCATGGAGCCAGTCATGTGGGTGAACAGCTGGCGAATCAACGCCAACATAGAGGGAATGATCAACATTCTGTGTTGCAACTAAGGAGCAAAGGTAAACTAGCAAGCACACCATTTCTTATGAAGTGTTTTTAATAACCTCTGCCTTAGCAGACACTTTGGAACAGACCCACGAATATAATCACATCCTTGCTAATATTTCCTAAAATATAAAAGCAGCTATTTTCATATTTTAGCACCCATTTACACTCTAAAGAATTTTCTTAGATGTATTAACCAAAAAAACATAAAACTATGGGTGTCAATAGAATAATTATTAACGATTTACCTCATAATTTCCAGTATTTAGCAGTGTTATGTTAGTATTATTTATATACCATTATATAGTCTTTATTTCTTATTTTAGTTTAAGGTTTGGTAATTTTGTTATGTCCTTTTGTTATTTTGTTGTCACTTTTGTCTTTATTTCAGTTTTAGTTCCCTTTCGAGAGGTTCCTCCTATTGCGTAAGCTTACGCTATGGGAAAACTCCTTTTCTCGAGAAATATTGAAGTCTTTATGTAAAACGCATTGCAGCCGCACAGCATACAGCAATGAGCGAGGCAGCTCGGTCATTGGCTGTGCTGCGGCAACTTGCACGAACCAATGACGGGGCGACTCTGAACCCGCTTCCAATGAGCGTGCTTCGCGCCCACGCGCGTCAGAGCCCGCCAAGATGGGCGTGGCCAAGAGCTATATATTGGGCGCTCCGTCGTCTGAGTTCTTTAAATTTAATCTCCTTCAGCAAAGAACCTTCTCTTCGCTGGATCCTCCGGATTTGTTGGAGTCTTTTCGCCGCCGCCGTCGACAAGCCTACAGCAGGACTGCTTCGAGGACGCCGGCGCCTTCAGCCGCCTTCGATCGCCCTTCTGCTAAGCCATCCGGCGCGCACCATCTATATCCTTTTTCAAAGCTATCAGTGTTCGCCCCCGCGACACTTTTTCTAAAAGAGCAAATTTCTCAAGGCGTTGTTTCAAATGCCTTCCTGCGCCTCGTGTCGAGGCCCTCTTCAGGACGGGGATCGTCACATCATCTGCGCCCGCTGCTTGGGACCGGACCACGCAGAGGCTGCCCTTACTCGAGGCGGATGTCCCGAGTGTGACGCCCTGGGCCTCACCGAGCTGCGCGCTCGCTTCGCCGTTTTCACCGCGAAAGAGCCCACCTCTTCCGTGCTGCCATCTCCTCTAGTCGAGCCGCGAAAGAAAAAACGCCGCTCACAGAGGCCGCCGGAGCACGCGGTTTGCAGTGATGTCACGCCGGGCCAATCCCCGCGTGCTTCACCACCACCCGAAGACTCCCCGCCGCCAGTCCAGTTCACACAGGCGGACCAGCACCCCTCCAGCGGAGCGATGGGGCTCGTCTCGTTTGGCGCGTCAGGGGATGACGATGATAAGGATGACAGTTTTTCCTGTGATGCTGCATCCGACGATTGGCCGGGCTCGTCCTTCGACCCCGCGCCATCGACATTAGCGGGCACGAGCGCGGGCTCCAGCATGGACTCTGAGATCGTCCGCATTCTCTCTAAGGCCGTGGAAGACCTCGGGCTCGATTGGTCTTCCCCGGAAGAACCCGCCCGCAGCCGACTGGACGAGTGGTTCCTGCAGGGGCGCCGACAGGCCCCTCGACAAAGACGGAAGTTTTTCCTTCTTCCCGGAAGTTCACGACGAACTCACAAACTCACGAAGTCGTGGAAAGCCCCCGGCTCGCCTGAAGCCTTCTTTTTCTTTGTCGCTCTCCTCTGTGGACGGCGCAAAAGAAAGAGGCTATGAGGGGACTCCGCCCCTCGAGGAAGCTGTGGCCAATCATCTGTGTCCACCCTCCAACGCTGGATGGAAAGCTAAAGCTTCTCATCCCTCGAAGCCTTGCCGATCTACTTCAGCTCTCGCCGGTCGCGCATACGCCGCCGCCGGCCAAGCTGCATCAGCGCTTCACTCTATGGCTGTCCTCCAGGTATTTCAAGCCAAACTTCTCCGCAGTATGGACGAGTCTGGAACCGATCCTGAGGCATTTAAGGACCTACGCAGCGCCACTGACATAGCGCTGCGAGCTACAAAAGCCACCGCCCAATCCATCGGCCGTGCTATGGCTAACCTGACTGTCCTTGAGCGCCATCTGTGGCTGACGCTAACAGAGATGAAGGATGCAGATAAGGCGTCATTTCTCGACGCGCCTATCTCCCAAAGCGGCCTGTTTGGACCAGCGGTGAAGGAGTTCGCCGAGCGCTTCACCGAAGCCCGTAAGGACTCACAGGCTATGCGTCACTTCCTGCCCAAGCGATCTAGCTCATCGCAGAGCCGCCAACGGCCGCCTCAGCAGCAGCGAGCTAAGACGGCGCCCCCCGTTTCTCAGCCCAAACCTGAAACGGATTTTCGACGCCGCTCGCGCTCCGCCAACAGGAAACAGCCGCCCGAGCGACGGGGACCTCGGCCCAGGATTGTGCTGAACCCAGAGCCTCGTAAGTCCTCCTAGCTACAGGGAGGAAAAGGGAGAGCGCGTGTCTCGCAAGAGCCGGACCGTTCTCTCCAAAACGTTTAAAGCATTACCCAGTCCCCTCACAGGCGGCTGGAAATGTCTATATAGCAGCCAATGTGCCAGCCACACAGCTCGCCCACCTGCAAACAAACGCCGTTTTTACGGCGACACACAGAAATCACATAAAGAGCTATTTTCTGCCTGTGTCATTAAAGGGTCACGTGTCCACACCAAAGTGCGCATTCCCACATATCAAAACTGTAAACTCAGTGCCAAATGTTTTCCCAGCTCAGGCTGGACGCCCCATAAATGTAGATTGTGTGCCAACTGTTACGTATGCACCACTACACACAAGCACTGTTCCCACAGTTATAAACACTTCCCCAGTAAAAGCGGGAAGTTGTATAAGAGTAGCGCGTGTGCCCGCTGTTATGCACGCACCCCATCTCACAAACACTGTTTATATGGCCAAAAACCTCCCGCCACGAGCGGGAAGTTTTATGAAAGTGGCGCGCGTGCCTACCACAGTCTATGCACCCCCACCCATAAGCACTATACACACAGTGTTAAACATTTCCCCATCTCACTCTGTGAGCATTACAGCGAGCGTGCCTGTAATCTCACACGCACCCCTGCACTCGGCATTCAACAAAGCTGCTCAGCGCGCGCCCGCGCCGCTGACAGCTGTGAGCTCGGTATTTACACAGACCGATTCGCTGGCGGGAGCCATACGTCACTGCGACACGCCCCCGGCCAGCATTCAGCCCATATCTGTGCGAGCGAAAGCTTGGGAAAATATCCCCGACATGCCGAAATGGGTTTTGAACATAATAAAACACGGTTACTCGCTCCAATTCGCTCGCAGACCGCCCCGCTTCACAGCAGTGGTAGAGACGAAAGTGAGAAAAGATGTTTCACATGTTCTACGCACCGAGATGCTCAAACTGATAGAGAAAGGCGCTATAGAAACAGTGCCCCCCTCTATGAGCGAGGCAGGTTTTTACAGCCGCTATTTTCTCGTCCCGAAAAAGGATGGCGGTCTCCGCCCCATCCTAGATCTCAGACATCTGAACAAAGCTTTAATGATTCGCTCGTTCAGAATGTTAACAACCAAGCATATCCTCGCGCAAGTTCGCCCGGGGGATTGGTTTCTGTCAGTGGATCTGAAAGACGCTTACTTTCACATTCCAATAGCGCCTCATCACAGGCCATTTCTGAGATTCGCTTTCGAGGGACAGTCATACCAGTACACAGTACTACCATTCGGCCTGTCACTGGCACCCCGTACATTTACGAAATGTATGGATGCAGCACTTTCCCCCCTGAGACAGCGGGGAGTGCGAATACTAAATTATCTCGACGATTGGCTAATACTAGCACAATCAGAGAGCCAGTTAGTGACACACAGGTCTTGGATTATCAGTCATCTAGAGTGCCTAGGTCTAAAAATCAATTTTGCAAAGAGCATGCTATCCCCCAGCCAGAATATTTCTTTTCTGGGAATAGTGCTAGACTCAGTGCAGATGACAGCACGCCTCTCATCAGAGCGCGCGCTCACTATTCGGCGCCTTGCAACATCGTTCAGAGCAGGTGCGCGTGCCCGCGTCAAGCGATTTCAGAGGATGCTCGGTCTCATGGCCTCAGCATCAGCTGTACTCCAGCTAGGATTGTTGCACATGCGTCCTCTCCAACGCTGGCTCAAAAGCCGTGTCCCCACTCACGCATGGCGCTCGGGCCACTTTTTAATCAGAGCAAATCACGGCTGCATAAAAGCCCTGACGCCCTGGAAAGCTGTCGACTGGTATCAGTCCGGCGTGAGTTTGGGCGTGAACACAAGGAGAAAAATGATCACGACAGATGCCTCCAAAATAGGTTGGGGGGCCCTTTACGAGGGCAGGCCTGTCTCCGGCTTGTGGTCAAACCCGGAGAAGCGCCTACATATAAACTGTCTGGAATTGAAAGCGGTCGCTTTGGCTCTCAGAGCCCTGCTCCCGTACCTGAAGGACGAGCACGTCCTAGTCCGAACGGACAACATGACGGTAGTCTCGCATATAAATCGTCAGGGTGGACTCAGATCGAGCTCCCTGCACTCGATGGCCAGGGAGCTCCTACTATGGTCCCAGCGCAACCTGCGCTCGCTGAGAGCAGCACATGTGCCAGGTGTTCTGAACCAGGGAGCAGACATGCTGTCCAGAGACAAAGTTCTCCCAGGAGAATGGTCTCTCCACCCCCTGACGATTCAGTGGTTATGGCAAACCTTTGGCAGAGCAGAGGTCGACCTCTTTGCCTCCAAGGAAAATGCGCACTGCCCTCTCTTCTTTTCAAAGAGCACAGACGCGCTCGCCCAAGTCTGGCCGAGCCGACCGCTGTATGCCTTCCCTCCGGTCGCGATGCTACCTCAGGTCATCAGTCGGATCAGGGAGGAAAAATGTGCAGTGCTCCTGGTAGCCCCACTCTGGAAGAACCAGACGTGGTTTCCAGAACTGATGCAGATGACGCAATCTGCCCCATGGCCGATTCCACTGAGGCTAGATCTCCTCAGGCAGGCCAACGGGATGATCCTCCATCCCCGCCCCGATCTGTGGGCCCTCCATGCGTGGCCCCTCAACGGATTCCCGGGAACCTCCCCAGTGGAGTGTTGAGAACCATCACTGAGGCGCGAGCGCCCTCTACGAGGCGCTTATATGCCCAGAAATGGAAGGTGTTCAGTGACTGGTGTAAAACCTGCACGCGCTGCCATCAAGCGCTACCTGCCTGGAGTTTGGACCTAACGACAGCAGGGTTGTCCTCAGGCCAAAACACGGGTATATTCCTAAGGTGCTCTCTACTCCCTTCAGAGCACAGGTGATATCTCTGGCCGCGCTATCGTCCCCAGCAGACGAAAGTGACGCTAATTTACTCTGCCCGGTCAGGGCACTCAGAGTATATTTGGAACGTTCTGCCCTGTTCAGACAGACAGAGCAGTTGTTCGTATGCTTTGGCGGCCGCACTAAAGGTCTGGCTGTGTCAAAGCAAAGAATATCGCGCTGGATAGTTGATGCTATAGCGCTGGCTTATGAAGCCAAGGGCCTTCAGTGCCCCTTGGGCATCAGAGCTCACTCTACGAGAGGCATGGCTTCCTCGTGGGCGTGGTCGAGTGGGATACCCATTCAAGATATTTGTGCGGCTGCAGGCTGGGCCTCACCGTCCACATTTATCAGGTTTTATAACCTACAGGTCCCCTCATTGCACTCTAACATACTGTCGGTCTAACTATGCATAGGCTGAGGTGTGTACATGCTGAGCATTGTCTCCTCCCTTATAGAATCCGTCTTTGACTGATGTAGAGGAATTTTCATACATAACAGTACATGAAAATGTGCTTGTGTGTGTGTCTCTGGACGCCCATCGGGCCGTTCCAAGTTGTCCTTTTATAAAACCCGCCTTCGGCTGGCTCGTTGGATAATTACTTTGCTCGAAGGCTCAGGCATCTGCCTCCGGCTTAATAGAGCGAAGTCAGCACGCACGGCGTTTTACATGGCGTTCCCATAGCGTAAGCTCACGCAATAGGAGGAACCTCTCGAAAGGGAACGACTCGGTTACTAACGTAACCTCGGTTCCCTGAGAGGCGGGAACGAGTATTGCGTAATCTGCCGTGCTTGTGCTTGGTCAGTTTGCTTCAGTCGATTGAACCTAAAGAACTCAGACGACGGGGCGCCCAATATATAGCCCTTGGCCACGCCCATCTTAGCGGGCTCTGACGCGCGTGGGCGCGAAGCACGCTCATTGGAAGCGGGTTCAGAGTCGCCCCGTCATTGGTTCGTGCAAGTTGCCGCAGCACAGCCAATGACCGAGCTGCCTCGCTCATTGCTGTATGCTGTGCAGCTGCAATGCGTTTTACATAAAGACTTCAATATTTCTCGAGAAAAGGAGTTTTCCCATAGCGTAAGCTTACGCAATACTCGTTCCCTCCTCTCAGGGAACCGAGGTTACGTTAGTAACCGAGTCGTTTATTTTTATATCTTACTTTTATTTCAGTTTTAGTAATTCTAGTAGCCTACTTAAACTTCAGCTTACTTTGTTTCAACAATTCAGTTTTTTTTCACCTAATAATCACATTTTATTTTATGTCAGCTTTATTTTAACTTTAAATTTAGACCTAAATGATTATTAAACATAAATCCACATAGGTATATAAATCTACCAAGGCCCGGTTTCACAGACAGGGCTTAGATTAAGCCAGGATTAGGCCTTAGTTTAATTACAGCACTTAAGTAGCTTTTATAAATGTGCCTTAGAAAAAAACATGATGTGTATCTTGAGACAAAACAATGGCACTGATATATTTTAAGATATGTCAGTGCAAGTTGCTTGCATGCAGTTAAAGCAGCTGGGACTAGGTTTGAGTCTTGTTTGTGACACGGCCGGCCAAATATCTTTTGAATCGGGTCATTAAACAACCCCATAGTAACTGCATAGCAACACCTTGGCAACCATTCAGTGGTGGCATCTAGTTTATTTCGTTTTTATATCACTACACTCATTCTCAAATGTCTGTCTTAAAATATTTCTCTGTTTTATTCACAGACACGAGTGGACGGGCACACAATGAGAGCAGGTCAAGAGTTCCAACTTCTTCCCAACGTCGTGGGGGTTCGAACGACATCTCAGCTGTCAGAATACGCCAGCTGGCCCTCAGTAATCATTTCTCAGCCCTCCAGAGAGGCACATTCAGACCCCCAGACCAAATCCACAATGAAGTAACTCAAGGACATCACTCACTATTAAAACACCAGGACGAGGGCGTTGGCGCTCGGCCGATTTACCAAACCATCAGCTGTCTGCACTGTCACCAGACTTATGAATACAGACAAGCTGGAAGTAACAAACAGAGCTTTCCATTTACAAATCACTCGCAGAACACTGGAGCACAAATGTATGACACTATGCTATACAGAGACATCTTGGGGTATGACAAGTCAAACGCTGGGAGACGTGGTGAGAGTCGAGCTAGTGAGTTGGGGTTTAAGTTAGCTTCTCAAAGGAGCGTCACTTTTGATCTAGCTGGGCCCGAGGAACGTGTCCTCACCACAATGGCTGACAGACCCAAAAAAGAGAGTGGGATGAAGAGCTCTAAAACATCTGCACAGAAAAGCCCCCGAAAGCTGGGTAGGACTAAGAGCAGCACACGAGGACAATTAAAGACCCAGAAAACCAGAGGACGAGCAAAGAGGACACTGAAAGTTAAATTAAATTTAAACCCCCTTCGAAAAAACAGAGTTCATCCAAAGTCCAATGATGAAGACAATAATGAAGACAAGATGTCCAAAAAGGCTAAGAAGGAAAAACTGAGAAGCAAAAAGGACAAAAAAGATCTCCAGAGAAAAGACAAAACTAGCAAAAAATCAAAAGACAACGCTGAGGGATCAGGAAATAAGGAAGAGGAAGACAACTCCGAAATGAAACGCACTAAAAAAGGAAACAAGGATTCAACGTCCATGTCTAAGGATGCAGATGAAGTCACTAAAGAAAGAGGACAAGAGCAACAAAGCTGTATTCCTGTTGAGGGGGAAACTCCGTTAGAGTCTGTCTTCGGCGGTAGATCTGAAGCTCAAACGGCATCAACACTCAGTTTTACTCTTCCAGATGAACACAACGGTCTTACGGCTCCATCACACCCTGACACTCAGCGGCTATCCAATCCAAATATTGAACTCCCTGAGAGTGAATCCGCTGCTTCACAGGATGTGGTGGATCAGTCCAACAGTTCAGACCTGAGGAGCTCTGCTGCACCTGTCATCCAAGAATATGTTTCTTCAGCCGAGGGCTCGCCAAAGAGGAAGTTAAGACTCATTCTACCTGAAAAAACCTCCAACAGGCCACAAACGGCACTTGATAAGAAAATCAGATAGCGTTATTCTTTTCTGATAATGTACCACAGATAGCATGCACTGCTGAGTTCATTGCTATGAATTACTGATTATAATGTGCAGTCTTATTTTATTTAAATTATTTATATTTTATTATACACTGAAAATGTTGTATCCTTGAAAATCCTTGTTGTAGGATTTACTTTTTAACAATTTTCCCTCCGAAAATGCTAGTAAATTATTACAAATAATTACAAAAAAATGGCAAGTAACACGTGAAATTATTTTTATTATGTATGTATCATACAATCAAGCCTGAAATGCTACATAAAGTCTCCTTGATTTCTGTTACAAAATAAGTATGTGGAGTTTGTTGTTTAATGTAGGCATAGTTAATGATCGCTTCGTTTAACCAAAGAAAGTAAAAAAAAAAAAAATCCTCAGTCATTTTCTTGCAAACAAGATCACAAGAATACAAAGTGCGCCATTTTATGGTCTGCAGATAAAAGGCAGTTTGGACCTTAGAAAAGAAAACATGACACTCTAGGAGAGTCACTGTGCACCTTATGCACGTTGAGTGAACATTTAGAGATCTCATACTGCAAAACGATGGACGACAAAGAAGAAAAGAACTGCAACAATGAGGATGATGAAGAGGAAGAAAGAAAAGAACCAAAAACAATTCTGGGGATCTTTACAAGAAAGCAGTTCATCATGTTATGTATTGGTATCGGTCTGATTGCACTTCTTCTCGTCATTATTTTAACTTCAGTATTTGTGATCAGGAGATCAGGTATGAAGCCTCTTCAGTGTTTATAGTACATAACATTGAATATTGATTGATGTATCAGGTACATAATTATGAAACGGTATGCATTATTAATTTCAGAGTAAATATAGAGGAAACAATACTGATTTATCTATGTTGTTCAATTTGTGGATACTGCTTGTGCATGATCTCAGATGCTTCAGTCGACGTGGACATGGAGCCTTTCCCAACTGGTGGAGACATGCTTGACTTTCTTCTCCAAACTGGAGAAATTCGGGAGAAAGATGGTCTTTATGCAACATGGTATCACTCAGCCAACAATAAGTCTGAGATGAACAAGGCCTTGAACAGTAAGAGTTATCTGTTGTTTTATCTTTACACCTTTGTTCAAGGTTGCGCTTCTGTCCATTCAGTTATTAGTTGTATAATAATAATAATAATAATGAAACATATTTCTGTAAACTTATATCTATTAACCGTTGTTGTCAAGGAATGTTTAGTTCGTTAATTGTTGAAATATATAAAATAAAAAAATAAAAACATTTCTGTGAAATGTTGGTGTAAATATACACAATCTATGTTAAGAGCTCTGATAGTGATAACAAACTCTGCAGGTGACATGGTGTAATGAAATACCATTAAAAACTTTGTTTGTACATTACAGGTGATGTATTGATCCTGGAAGCTGATATAAATGTACAAGGTCATAATACAGCCAATGAAACCAATATTCCCATCATGGCCCATCCACCGGACATATACAGTGACAACACTCTGGAGGACTGGCTGGATGCTGTACTCAAATCAAAGAAAGGTGAACAACCTGGAACATTAGTATCTGATTTTATATACAGAAGACATAGTGAGCATTGCTTTGTTGTGTTCATCCTTCATTAGGGATAAAGCTGGATTTTAAGAGTATTAATGCTGTGGAGCCCTCATTGGATCTGCTGAGAGAGAAAAAACAAATGGGGATCAACCGCCCAGTGTGGATAAATGCAGATATTCTCCCTGGTCCTAATGTTCCTGATTTCTGGCCAGTGGTCAATGCTTCTGAGTAAGAATGTATTAAATATCTCATTTCATTTGTAACACTTGAATGCGGTTCAGTTTACTTTGTGATTTAGGCCAGTGGCTCTCAATTTGTTGGTACAGTAATGATAAAAATGTTTACATTAATCTTTGTAAAACTTGGATTTTTTTCAACACAATGTTGTAAGTACGTCCCATCGGGTAATCGGAATCAGTTCTATGCACACTTGTGGTCTTCAAGCCCACTTGGGCCAAATACAGGAAATACGTCATGTAAGTAGACAAAGACTACCAGTGTGGGTACATACCGGGACTGGCCCTCTGTTACCAGAACAGTCTGGGGACCAGAAACTGTTTGCTTGGGTAGTGGTATTTTGTTCCTGAATGAAACAGTGTGTTTGAATGAGTTTGGATGAGTGAATAATTCAATGACTCACTCATAAAAACAGGCAGCTGTTTCTTCCTGGTTGAATCATTGGAACAAATTGGTTGAATGAAGGGTTTAATGAATAGCTTAATTCACTCATATAGACAGTCACTTATCGCCATGTACTGGCGTGACTACATAACACAGAAAGAGTCAGTGAAAAATCCCCACTATGTCTGAAACCTGCAAACACAGGCAAGTGGAGTGATACAAAGAGAGCCAGAACAACTTAGACTATTTGGAATGATATTCGGAACACCTTTCTGTGACCTGTTGATTGCTTAATGTTGTTTTTCAGTTGCTGACCGTTTATACTTTTATTACAAGGTTTTTTGAGCTCATTCAGCTGAAATTTCCTGACGTCACCATCTCTCCAGGATGGAAGGTTCTTTATCTTTCCATCCTCCCCAATCTGACATACACGCGCAATATGGTGGAGCAGATGTACTCTACTGTAAGACACCTCCCTCAGAAAATCACCTTTCCTGTCCATGCTTTGATGGCCAAGAATGGGTGGCCACACCTGAGCTGGCTGCTCAGCCAATCTTCAAGGTAACTCAGTTACTTCAGTCGTTTAAGTTAAAAAAATGATGATGATGTTTATACTGTGTCTTGATTCTGATACAGGTTTAGTTTAACACTGTGGCAAGGAAAGGAGAACCCCACTGTGAATGATCTTCTCTTCATCAGAGACAACAGCAACCCTCAGCGCATCTATTATGACATCTATGAGCCTGTGCTCTCACAGTTCAAAGAAGCTGCAAGTGAGTGACTTCATGGTTTTGAATATTACACCTTAGATAGTGTAGCGATGCACAATATATGGTAGCATATTATCTGCCGATTTTTACATTAGATTAACTTTGCCGTCATCTAACTCTCTTAAAAATAAAAGTCCTTCATTGGCATCTGTGGTTCCATGAAGAACCGTTAACATCCATGGAATCTTTCAATTACACAAAAAGGTTAATTATATATTGAAAAAATGTTCTTTAGATTATTATGTTCTTCACACTAAGAAAAACAACTTAAGAACTGATCACTGAATGATTCTTTGAGGAACCCAAAATGGTAGCCTAGAAATTTAGACGCACCCTAGCGGAAGCAAATTATATTTAGCGGGCAGGGTGGTCTAGCAACTCTCCGTTGGCTTTCGAGCTGGAAAAACCAAACTCTAGTCAGGCCAATCACATCGTGTATAGAGCAAAGACAGTAAAAAAAATGGACACAGCAACCCCATAGACTTCAACGGAGAAAAGTGAAGTCAATTAGAAGCACTCACTTCCTGATGGCTGAGCGACTGCGCAGCCTCAAACTGAGCTTGACGACGTAGTTGTGACGTGAGCAACCTGTCTGACAGTTGTACGTCTTCTAGTAGCTGTGCCAAGAGGAATCTGAATCATTCCCTTCCGAATCTTGCAGAGACTGAGAGCGTGAGTAGGAGCTGTCCAAGAGCTAGCAGCTGGAGCAACTTTATGACTCTCTATGGGCTTCCCCCTTGACGTTATGCCTCCACGTCCCCCCGATTGCCCGCGAGCTTCTCCTCCTGTCTGTACGGTAATTTCTCTACTGTGCGACAGAGAGTCGCGTGTTATGACGCAATCGTTAGCCTGTTTCTACGGGGCCATGACGTAAGATACAAGGTAATGGAGCCTTTTATACATTGCCGTGTTTCTTTAGAAATAAACAATGGGCAAATGGAGTCTTTAAACACCTCAGATGTAAAGTTATTCGCTGTCAAAGTGATGCCAAAATGAATGGGAGTCAATGGAATGCTAACAACAGGTGAAGGCTTGCTAGCCAATGGCGGCCCCCGGGGAGGCTTCAGTTTCCGGCTGGTGGATTAATTTACCCCCTTAGTATAGAGTCGGCGGGCGGGCTTAACGTAATGACGACAAAGTTGCGACGGTTCCCTGCTACTTGAAAACAAAGAATGGCTGCTGCTGCTGGCGAACAGCGGTCTTTCGAATCGGCTTTGGCCGCGACTCTGGAGGACTTGGAGTTAAGCTTTTCTTTGAGAAAAGAACATAGAACGGCACTTAAGTCATTCTTAAAAAAGGAAGATGTGTTCGTACATCTTGTGTAGATGTGTTCGTTTTGCCAGACACGGCAAAAGTTTAATCTATCAACTGACGTTACCTCCGCTGGTGGGAAAACGCTCTGGTTGGTTGTAGCGCTATCCTATTGCGTGCAGAGGGAATTTGAAAGACAACCGTTTATCCCGCCCCTCGGATTGAGCTCTGCCAATGGTGAGTTCCCAGACCCAACATCTTGATGTGGGTCTGGCTTGCCAGGCTATCAAAATGGTTCTTCGATGGCATCATTGCGAAAACCCCCTGTTGAAACTATTATTTTTAAAGGGGTCCTATTATACTTGTTCATTTTTTCAACTTTAGTTAGTTTGTATGTTGCTGTTTGAGCATAAAAAGATCTGCAAGGTTACAAAGCTCAAAGTCCACTCCAAAGGGAGATATTTTATTTAAAGCTGCAGTCCGTAGCTTTTTTTGGGTTAAAAATGATCCAAAATACATATTTGAGAAAATACATAACCAGCCAGTGTTGAAAACTCTCTGCTTGCTTTAGCCCGATTCAAAGCGGTAAGCTTGTAATAATGTTGTTAATTCCAGTGGTACTGGTGGATTTACGCGGGAGATTCGAGCATGTCTTTGAGTCATTACGTCACATCTGTACACATAAAGGAGGAGACTCGGCTAGTAGGCTATATTGCGTGTGAGGATGCTGGAGGTGGAGATTTATAGCCTTTTCTCACAGCACTTGATATAAATAAACGTATTAATTTGATGGCGGATCCAGAAAGGTTTAAACGACAATCACCAGTGACAACTAGAGATTCACCCGCTGTAAAATGCAAAAGACTTCGTTCGGACTTCGGAGTGGCTACAGAAAAAAAGAGACCGGACCCATGCGAAAACAAGGATACATATCGGAAGAACATTATACATGTAGTCACGCAATAATGACGTTGTTAACATTAACAATTTGAGAACAAAGTATAATTTGCACGGTTCTGCGTGATATGATAAGCGATTTTTAGATTTAATCAGCGTGATTTACTGCAATGTCAGAACCAGAACAAAAGTGGATGTTTCTTACTTGTTCAGATGACATTTTCATCGGTGAAAATTATTATGTTGGTCATACTTCCAAAAATAATAATCTGTGATTCTGAATGCCAGTATCCACACTGGCGCGGTGACTGACAGCTGCACACTCTCCTCAAACATTGGATTCATCCGTGCTGTGCCAGATTTCGAACAGAGATGGCGACAAAGAGGAAAAACTGCGGACTGCAGCTTTAATATAATCCACTTTTCAAGAACTACAACGAACGGCTCGTTTGGACAACAGCGCGATTTTTCCGGGCTTTATGAAGTCATAATATTCCTCATTTAAATAATCCCCACCCACGGAATACACAGAAAAGCGGATGAGGCCTGGATGAGCTGCTGCTATGTCAAAGAGAGGCTGGCTTTTACCACAACTTATTTGTTTGACCTTCCTAAGGCTGACGTAGAATGGGTAAAATTTATTTTAAGTACTGTTCCTGAACATTCTAATCCCGGTGTTTATCTGTGCGCGCACATTTTACAAAGAACAGGTTCCAGAACCACAATGCTACACACAAAAGCTTCTCCGGAAATGGAGAAGTTTCCACTTTGTCGGGACAATCTTTTAGTAGGGAGGTTAAGTGACTTTTGACTTCAAGTCATGATGCAAAGGTCCCCTTTGGTATGGAAGTACCTTAGGGCCATAGAAATAAATTTATCCTAAGACACAAGTGAGATCACATTTTGTATCTTATATACACACATTTTTTAAAAATGGCCGCCGACCATACTTGAGAGGCCCATATCTTTGCTTCTGTCATAGCTATAATGACAAATTTGGTATCAACGGGTACATTTTTGTGGTCAAGGAGTCCAATAAAATAGGTTCCAAGACTAAAAAACAATACTGTTGTCCTTAACATGACAATTGGAGGTGAAGTATGCAATTTTTTATTAAAAAACGCATGCCAAACACACAGTCCATTCACAACTTAATAATTTCTTCGTTTAGGTCTGCTTCGCATGCGCCCTTTACAGCACTGGCTGAAGACGTGGGTCCTGCGTCGAGCATGGGCATCCGGTCGTTTACGTCTCAAGGTAACTCAGAACTGTGTCACAGCTCTGGAGCCCTGGAAGGCGGTCGACTGGTATCAGACAGGTGTAAACCTGGGAGTAATCTCTAAACTGATAGTGGTTTCGACAGACGCCTCCAATTCGGGCTGGGGCGCCCTCTTTGAGGGCAGACCGACTTTTGGCCTGTGGTCAAGCCAAGAAAAGAGCTTGCACATAAACTGTCTAGAGATGAAGGCGGTCGAGAACGCCTTGCGGTTCTTCATTCCCCTTCTAAAGGGCCACCATGTCCTTGTCCGCACGGACAACATGTCGGTGGTTTCCTACATAAATCGCCAGGGCAGTCTGAGATCACGGAACCTTCATGCACTGGCAGAACGCATCCTTGTATGGGTTCAGCACCCATCACTGGCCCAGCCCATCACTGGCCCAGCCCATCACTGGCGGCTGGGCTGCCCATCACTGGCCCAGCCGCCCTCTCTATGCTTTCCCTCTGATCATGCTGTTACCACAGGTAATCAAGCCTATAAGGGAGAACGGTTCCTGTGTACTTCTAGTAGCTCCGTTCTGGCCGAACCAAGTTTGGTTTCTGGAGCTGATGCAGCTTCAGAGCTTGCCTCCGTGGCCTGTCCCATTGAGGAGAGATCTCCTCTCACAGGCCGGGGGTACGATTTGGCACCCACGACCCGAGCTTTGGGCTCTGCATGTGTGGGCCATCAACGGGTACCCATCAGTCTCCCCGACGGAGTGTTAAACACGATTACGCAAGCTAGAGCGCCCTCTACTAGATGGCTTTATGGTTCCAAGTGGTCAGTGTTCTCAGGTTGGTGCTCAGCTCGCAACCTGGATCCACAAGATTGTGGGGTGTCGGAGGTTCTCTCCTTCCTACAGGAGCTCTTGGATAAGGGTAGATCCCCATCCATGCTCAAGGTATATGTGGCGGCTATTGCTGCGTTTGTCAAACATTCGCATGGCCAGTCACTGGGTAGGAACGACCTTGTAGTCCGCTTCCTCAGGGGAGCTAGAAGGATGAACCCTCCTCGCCCCCCCTCGGACCTTTCCTTGGTCCTGGAGGCCATGAAGGGTGCCCCTTTCGAACCTCTACAGTCTGTGGACCTTAAGTATCTCTCATTGAAAACCGCCTTTCTGGTGGCTATCGCCTCAGTCAAGCTGGTGGGTGACTTACACGCACTTTCTGTTAGTGCCTTGAGTTTGGGCCTAATGACTCCAAGGTCATCCTCAAACCAAGACATGATTATGTCCCCAAAGTACTTGCCACTCCTTTCAGAGCACAAGTCTCTGTGGATCTGACAGCGAGTCTGACATTCTCTCGTCACAGGCGATTTTTGAGATTCACCTTCGAGGGCCAGGCATATCAATACACAGTCCTACCGTTCGGCCTGTCCCTGGCATCCTGTATATTATGATGTACATGGACGCGGCTCTCGCGCCCCTGAAACTTCAGGGAATGCCAGCTTTGAACTATTTGGACGATTGGCTGATTCTAGCTCGATCTCATTCAGAGCTCATAGAACACAGGACCATATTACTCGAACACCTCGAGAATCTTGGTCTCACAGTCAATTGGGCGAAGAGCCAGGAAATATCCTTTCTGGGCACAGAGCTGAACTCGCTGTCAATGACAGCGCGACTATCGCCAGAGCGCATACTGAACATTGCGGCACTATAGTCCCGCTCAAGAGATTTCAGAAGATGCTGGGCCTCGTGGCCTCATCATCATCAGTACTCCAGCTGGGTCTGCTTCGCATGCGCCCACTGCAGTGGTGGCTGAAAGCACGAGTGCCGTCTCAAGCTTGGGCCTCCGATCTGTTTCGCCTCAGGGTCAATCAGAAATGCGTCGCAGCTCTGAAACCTTGGAAGGCGACCGACTGGTACTGGTACCACCGCCTCTTCAATCTGACATTCTCTCTTCGGATCTGACAGCGAGTCTGACGTGAATCTCCTTTGCCTGGTTAGGGCCCTTGGAACGTTCGGCTGCTTTCAGACGGTCAGGACAGCAATTTGTTTCGTTTGGTGGCCGATCTAAAGGTCTAGCTGCCTCGAAACATAGCCTTTCCAGGTGGAAAGTGGACGCTATCTCACTGGCTTATACATCTAAGAGCCTTCGTTGCCCTCTGGGCGTCAGAGCTCATTCCACTAGAGGCATGCCTCTTCATGGGCCTGGTCCAGTGGGATTTCCCTTCACGATATCTGTATGGCGGCAGGCTGGGCCTCTCTGTCTACATTTATAGGGTTCTATAACCTGGAAGTTCCCGCGCTCCAAGCTAGACTGTTGTCAGTTTAGTTTATCTGCTCAGTTCTGCCGGACTCGGTTCCGCGGACTGCAAAGTTTTCAGTTCAGGCAGGCTATTGCCTCCCCTGACTGTTATACCGTGTTAAGCACCCTCTATGCATTTAAGGTAACCACGTTTACCTTATATCATTCTTATTAAGCCCATTCCCAATGTCGGCTTTTTATATCCCCATATCATATGAACTCAGGGCGCTCGCCCTTGGGTCAGTGTTGTGGTAGATTTAGCACGCACGGCGTTTTAAATTGGATTCCCGTAGCGTAAGCTAGCTTACGCAACACGAGAGTACTCTCGTAAGAGAACGTCACGGTTACTAACGTAACCTCGGTTCTCTCTAGAAGAGGGAATGAGTGTTGCGTAACCCTGCCGTGCTTGTGCTACCATCTGGTTTCGCTTCAGTCGATGAAAACCAAGGAGCATCTTATCGAGCTCTGGCTTATATAGGCATAAGCCACGCCCATTCGCCCACTCATTGGTGCTTACGTCACGAGCAGTGCCTCGATAGGTTGCAGCAGTTGCCGCATAGCATCCAATAGGCGCGCGAGCTGCCTCGCCTAGGTCTGCTAGCTGCAGCAAGTGTGTTTTAAATTAATACAAATTATAAGGATAATTTTTGGCTTCAGTATTCTCGAGAAAAGAGGTTTTCCCTCTAAGTTTTTTTTTTCCATAGTCAACTAGCTAGCTATTTATTAGTTATCTAACATTTAAAAAAAAAAATTTATTTAATGAGAAAGTCATACGAACCTCAAAGTGTTAACCTGTCACCTCTGACCTTCAACAGCTGTCACAGCTCCTGGTGCAGATGGGATGTGTTGTTGCAGGAACTGATATGCTATAGGCTACTCCTGACTGGTCGAAATCTCATGCTACTTAGGACAAATGTAATGTACAGAAGTAGCTGCACTGCTTAAATACAAAATTAAAGTTTTTGAACGAAAAGATAAGTAAAGTCACTCTGATGACAATTTTTATGTGAAATGTGCATATTTACCCCCAATTGTCATGGTATGGGGAAAATTATTATTTTTTTAAACTTGAAACCAATTTTATTGGATTCCTTGACCCCAAGAATGTACACTTTGACACCAAATTTGTCATTATAGCGATAACAGAAGCAAAGATATGGGCTCTAGAGTATTTTCGGCGCATTGGCGGCCATTTTTGAAAAAACATGTTTATTTCTGATACAAAGTGTGATCTCACTTGTGTCTTAGGATAAATTTATTTGTATGACCCTAAGGTACTTCCATACCAAAGGAGACCTTTGCATCATGACTTGAAGTCAAAGGCCTATTTTTTGGGCTTAACCTCCCTACTATTTTGTTTGTGGATGAAAACTTGTAAGTGTGTCTTATTATTTGTAGTTCCATTTTCTAATAACAGTTCTAAGTTTTATGTAGTTGCTACGCTCGCCTGCTAGCCAACATTAGTGTTGATATAGTGTTGTTTACTGTAAGCTCTCGCTTTTGTAAGGCTGTTCACCCCCCCTTAAGAAAATTAATCATGTTTTTGTGATCGATTACTGTTTGTATAACCATATTTTCCCATAATATCATGATTAAATGGTGGATAACATCGTACCTATAATGTACAAGACAAACATACCACTCTGAAACTTCCTGTGAAATCCGTGCTTGCAAAGTCCGTGCATGAAATCCGTTCGGGATGCTCCTCTTGTTTGTTAACATTGTCAGGGTCTGAATCAGGTTTGAAATTGGCATCATTCTTTACATTTACTAGTGCAGAACTCGCGGTTATGGAGGGGCGGGACATTTCCCAACACACTATAAGCGCTGCCAATCAAAACACACTGCCAGCTAACCAATCACAGCACATTTCGCATTTCGTATACAGGCTTCATCGAAACCGAAACTAAACAATGTAATAATGTAAAATATGTGAAAAATGATGTTGTTTTTTTGAACAATCAAGCATGAAAGCATACTCTCTAGTACATCCCAAAAACAGAAATCAATACTTCGTAAAAGGGCATAAGAGGGCCCCTTTAAAAGTGAAAGGTCACATTTATCATTGGTTACCATTGCTTCAGGTTTTTCATGAAAATTCGCCATGTTGACCAACAGAAAGCTGCTTGGTTTGAAATTGACTTCTGTGTGAGCCGTACACTAATTGACAGAAAATCATTTTTTTGCCGTAAAACTTTCGCTGAGATTTCGCAGTTGTGACCATGCCTGAATACTCATCTAAAAGTCTACTATTTAAAATTATTGATTTTATTTGTGTTTTATTTTTAAGTTATTTAGACAGAATAGTATATAATTGAATTTATTTATTGGTAATAGCCCATAACATTAAAATAATTGTATTAAACAATATTTATTTTTTTATTATTATTCATATTTTTCACTTCTCACTTTTGTCCGTAATTTTAATATTGATGCATCCCAAATTGTGTATATCATTAACACAGGCATCTTGATTTCTCAGAGCTGAGAAACAGACCCAGAAGATTCTATCCAGGTGGAGACATAGTTGACTACTTCAGGCCGGTGAATGGTGATGGACTCAACATCCAGTGGGATACAGTGACTGATAAAGACTATTTGCTATCTTTGCTTAAAGGTGTGAATCTAACAACTAGATATTGTGGAAATGCATAGATCTTTATAAATTGGTAATGCAAGAATTTTTAAAACATTTTTTGCAGATAGCCCTGGAGGAATGCTGGTGATCCCAATATTATCTAGGGTAGGTCAACCAAACATTCCTGTCGTTCAGGGTTCCCAACCTGAGCTTCCTCTTCAGGACTGTCTGGAGCTTATTCTTGCCTCTAAGAAGCCGTGGGGACTCTACTTAAGGATAAAGTCCCAGAATCATCTGAGCCCATCGCTGGAGCTCCTTCGTCGGGCCTATGACAGAGACCTGCTGCACCACCCCACCTGGGTTAACATGGACGTAGCCCACGGAGCTTTCCATATCCACGGCTATGTGATGGGAAAAGAGTTCTTGAGAACCATTGATCAAATCTTTCCATATGTGACCCTGGCTCCAGGTTGGCCTAAAGAGGTTCTCAATGAAGGCTACACACCAGAACTGGTCGAGGACATGGTGCAGCTCTTTCAGGGAGCCTGGCAAGATGTTTCACTGCAGCTTCAGGTCGAGGCACTGGACAGGACTGTGACTGGATATAAGAGCTTTATCCATGCACAATCACGCTTCTCACTGACTCTAGAGAAGCGGGCAGAGGACCGAGGCCTCAGTTCTGGGATTGAAAGCTTAATGTCTATCCGAGCAGTGAACAGACAGCGGAGCTTCTACAATATGTCTAATATATACAGAAAACATGCAGAAAATCTGTTTGTCTGAAAATCAAGATTATATCTTTGACAAAGACATTGCAAAACGAAAGTCAACCATAATGCTGTTTTAAATAGTCCACTGACAAGATAATGTACATAAATGTTCATTGAAAACTTGAGAGATTAATATTTAAAATAAATTCTTTCATGGCTCTAAGAATTTTAATTATTAACACTACTTTTTTTTCATACATACGATAGAAATAGGACTTTTAACAAATATTTATTTTAACAAAATTTTCAGTAATTGTCAGCAACTAAATCAAAAAATAATACTGAAAAACAAACAAAAATAGAGACGTGTTTATGTTCTAAAATGATCTCTCTCTTTTTTAAAGGGACATATAAGTGTTAGATGTACTATGTAAATATTCTGATGGATCCCAGTGTTAGAAATTAGGTTTATTTTTAAAGTTATTTCAGCATGGATTGCTGTTATGGGAACCTGTCACAATGTAACAGAGGTTTTGCAAAATGGCTGTTACTGGACCCGACAAAAAACATTTTACAATTGTAGAGAGCTTAGTCAATGAAGATAACAACTTGTTTAATTACAAACCTCAGAAAAGGTACAGAAAATAGTCATGTGATACAAACATTTAAAAATAACCCTTGAGAAAGATTCAGTGAGTGAGTGAACCATATGACAGAAATGAATTTTAGGCTTATCTGTGACTCATTAAAATAATTTGTTCAGATGAATAATTTGTTCACAAATCAAACTCGTTTCACTTCATATTTGTTGTGAGCAACCAGTGTGGAAAATGCATTTCCTCACTGTTTTTATTTTATTGTATTATTTTGCACCACACAGTCTTTCCCTCTCATCACATTCAATTCAAACTGCAACCTCACAATCCAGCTAAAGCATTGGTTTTTCATTCAGTCCTAGAATTTTTTTTTATGAATTTAAGAGGGAAAAAGAATAAAATGCTGCAAAAGCATTGGATCTGGCCCCTTTAAAAGCATAAACATTTCATGATAAGTTGAGCCTAGCAGCAGCAGCAGGTCATAATGTAGAAGGGGTGAATGCAGGTGTGCTGACTATGTTGTCCAGCAGATACTGGCTGCATGCACAGAAATTTGAGTAGAAAGTGGATGAGAGGCCTGCGATGTCAGTGGAGATGTACGGCATCACTTCTGGACTGGCCTGATTATAGTAGGAAATCTGAGGGCAAAACGAGAAACATGTCACACACTTCAGTGAGGAAGTACATAGTGAGCATCATGAAGGACTATTTTTCCTTACCTTTGAGACACTTTTCGACACCTCATAAATGGTGAACCCAGCACAGACCACCTCACCCCTGTTGAACCCCTCTGTGGGTGGATGAGTGGGTAGAGCGACTGATCGTAGGGCAATAACATACGGATCCCTAGAAAACAAATATACATCATATGTATTATAGATTATGCTGCATTAATGCCATGTCGCGATGTACTGTAATTACTAGATGACCATTTTTAATGCAATTTTTTAGTATTTTTTATTTTATGCACCTTTAAATTGCTATATACATGCATAACCAGCTCAAAATGTCTCACATTGGGTCAATTCGGTTGTCTCTGCAGACCTCTTGTGGAAAAATAATAATATAACATGATACTTCATGACTCTTGCCACTAGATAGTCTTATAGCTCAATATGGAGCAAATGAGCTGTTCCTCTGGGTCCTAAAGTCAGTTCTTGAGTGTATCTCTTCAGTATGCATTCAGATACACATGTAGACATTATAAAATCATTTTTGGTAATGTTTTAGCATTTTTAGGTTTAATTTTGAGCATTTTTTAGGGTTTTATATGTATACTTTAGCATTCCTAAGGGATGGGAAGGATTTGGTCCTTTTTTTTATTACAACCACATAAAGTCCTCGAATCCAGTAAAAAAAAAAAAAATGTGTATACGTGGTTCAAGTGCGACAAAAGTCCTAATGTCTCGAACCCCTCCGATCAAGACTCTTCTATTTATTTTTTTTGACCCGAGGGAAAGATGACGGTAAACTTAGCTTAGTGGGACATTATATGTATTAATAATCTATGCAAAGTTGTTTACAAAGTTATAATTACAAGTTCTACAAAGATGTGAATGCTTTTTACAAGTTTTTACAAGTACATGGCGTGAACATCTTTAGAGAAGCTCGCTTAAAGGCAACATTAAATCCTGATCTTATGTACTTATTCACATCCAAATGTGTTTGTAATCTTTGTCTTCTTTGTAACCTTGGTTCACTCAGAAATGCCACAGAACTAAAAGAGGTAGCAAATATTGTTTATGTAGACTTAAATACCACATCCTCACCCGCTATCACAAGGCGGTCTTCTAGAGGCCAGTAAAATGAAGTCCTGAACTTTTCCTCCTTCACCGACCGAAGGAGTAACAACTCTATAGATGAAATCATCCTCATTGACCCGAATGAGCGGCTCACACAGACTGCACAATTTAAACAACACAAACAAAAAAAATGTAAACCACTTTAAACTGACATTTGGATTTGCAATTTTAAATCATTATATCTACTTGAAAAGTTACTTATGTATTTGTACCAAACATTTTCGGAATAAATCGACAAAAAAAGTATTACATTTATCCGTGCTCTTCCCTTTTTCATTTGTAATAAGTAGCTAATAGTACTGTGGTATGGGTCTCACGTGTAGTGTTCGTCCCATTCCTGTCTGCGGCTGATATCTGAGAGGAGGGTGAAGGCCCTTTGTGCTGGGACATCCATCTCAAACTCCACCCTGAAACACAGACTCTGACTCTCCTCCACTGTATACAGACTCACCTGCTCAACGCAAGACAATGAGCATCTGATGTTACAGGGGGAACTTTATAATGTAAGACTGACGTATGGAGAGTAGCCCTTACATGACCCTTCTTTGAGCTGAGTTCCCAGTTGATTTTGGCTGCAAGCATTTTCAGGGCTGACACATTATTGTAGCTCAGATACACCTGAAAATCAGAATAATTCAGCTCAAATAAATCATCAATGCTGTCTGTCCATACAACAGCACTGTATAAATACAGGGGACCTTTGATAAATGTAGTACTAACATGTTTTTGTCAACATACGTTGGCAAGGTGTAACACAATACCATATTATTATAAGCAGTAAACAAGTATTTTTGAAAATTGTCAAGTCATATTTACATAATTCTGCAATTCTTGTCCATTTTTATTGACTTTATTTGGTATGTCTATCCTTCCTGATAAAACGTTTTTTTTTTTTTTTTTTTTTTTTTTCACTTCTGCCCAATTTGTGCCACAAGTTTGGACCTTTTAATGGTAAGTATTCATATAATCAGGTATTTTCTGTAGCAGGGAAACTTACCTGGTTACTAGGGTCCCATGGGACAGACAGTGGCACTTCCGTCTGCTTACATGAGATGATGTACTTCCTAAGGAGAAACAAAACCAGATGAGCTCCAACTCATGAAAAACTGAACAAGAGACAATACAGCTAAATGATGCTCCTGAAAAAATGTACTATTATTTTATAGTATTTCAAGTTTATTTTAATTATTCCATGAAATCATTTGAATAGTTTTAAAATAGATTTCAGACATTTTAAATTAAAAGAATAGGTCTAGCCAGACATTAGAACTGAGCAAATCTCATAATAACATAATACATAATTAACATAATCTCATAATAAAATAACATAATAAAGATTAAAGAATTAAATTATATAATATTTCCAGATTTTCAAGGAACAACAATTCAAATCCTGACCTTAAAGTTTAAGAAAGTAAAGTCCATGTATTATATGGATCTAGTTTTTACTTTTTAGCAGTGATGCACAGTGACAGCGCCATCTGTGGGTGAGCTGAGGATGTTGCATTCTAGCAGGTTCTTGCATAGTTTTGTGAGGTTATAAGCTGGAGCTCTTGTAATCAGAATAAAAATAAGCACCAGGTTTGCTACCTATCAAGTCGAATCTTCTTCCTGGCAAGAGCCTCCTGGTATCTCCTCTGTCCCTCCTGTCAAAACATTCAGAATAGCACTCAAAATTCACGTTTGACAATTTACAATTTACTTAAACAATCGAATGAGTGTTGTCATGACCGTTCACACTATAAGCACAATCTGGATTCAGATTTGGACTCCTCACCTGAGGTTCCGGTTTTATGGGAGGCAATGGACGTGGCCTTCCTTTCTCATCCAGCACCTCAAACATCATGAATGCGCTGTTAATGTGCCTCAGAGGTTCCTCTCCATGATAGGCTTCTGCACACACGCCTACCTCCATACTGCAAAGCCAGAGACACTGCCAGTCAGCTGACTGACATCATTACTGTGTAGTCATTAGAATCTAAATACAGCTCTTGGATGCCTATTACACAAGCCCACCTGTTCTTGAATGTGTTATTGACAATGGCTTTCAGAACCAAACGATCTCCAACCTGGGACGGGCCTCTGAAGTGAAACATGTCTATGGTCTTCAGAGTAGGATGAGCATTGCATAAACGACTGTTAAAAAATGAGAAAGCCATACAGTATATCTTGTGTTTTTTAATGATTCATAATAAGACCACCATGAGACAGTTTTCTTTCCTGTGCTGATGTACTTTCTATAGAAACAAGAAGATTTGGTGGGACAGACTTTGCTACTTTCTAGTTAGTTTCAGGTGGTATTAGGGGAGGGACATTCTCATTTTAGAGAATTTTGCACATTTTGTCCTATTGTTAGTTTAATTGCTTCTATTGCTCTCCTCATTTGTAAGTCGCTTTGGATAAAAACGTCTGCTAAATGATTAAATGTAAATGTAGAGAGCAGCTGATTGGACGGACATCTGTGTAGTGCAGGATGAGTCATAAATATTTTAAGTCAGACTAATAGTTTTTTCATGCACTGGTCTATGTTGACATTTTGGGCTATTTTGCTTCCATAACATTTCTTCTTTCAGACTAGCAGGAAGAAAACATCCAAAATGCACATTTAAGTGTTTATTTTTATTAAATGCTATCTATTTGTTTTTGGGGGGTTTTCACATGCACTGAGCCATAAATCTCCTCTTCGGTTGCACTAACATACATCAAACTTTCCATTCTTATCTATATTCTTAAGGTTTTTACAGATGGGTTTGTTAATATATAATAATATTCATACTAAAAGCCCAAAAACTTGTGGTGGTGACTTTAAACAGGTTTTTGAACCTCGCTTTATCAAATGTTTAGATTTTTGTTCTCGAAATGTATGCGAATTATTTATCATTATTAATTTAATCGTTATCATTTATTATATATTTATATATATCATACATATTTAATTAGATAATTCCTTATTTGCATATTTAAAAAATATTTCAGAAAACAAAACAATTGTGTTAATGTAATGTGATTAATCAACTAGGATAGTAAAGTCATATCTGTTTGTTTGTTTGTTTGTTTGTTTTAATTTTACCCTTAGTATAATTTATATATCTTCTAAAAGCAAATGACAACTTTTAGCATTAAACTAGCAAACAGATGGCCTCAAATCCAACACACATGAACTAAATGGCACACATCTTAATTATGATTTCATGGAGTATTTAAATAAGCTGAAGTTCATGCTCTAAAGCTTCAATGTACTGTCATTGCAGAAGTCTCTTTTATGACAACATTACAAACCTTGAACCCTGATCTAGTGCAGGTTGAGGGTTTAAAGCTAAATATTAACTGCTGTATAAAAATGCACTTTACAAGTGTGTGGGCACAAACCTGGCTGCAATAGTAGCGACATTTTCCATCCAGGCCATAATCTGACCTCCGAATGTGTTGACCTGGTGATTGGCATGAGTAGGAAGAACCAGCTCGACACTTTCCACTTGTGTCTTTTCTGTCGGCACAGCCTCATCTTCAACACGGTTCTCTGCCTCACAAACAATAAAACAGCTCCTTAAGTTGCTAAACAGATGTTTGGAGTGATTGTCTAGAATAGATCATGTGCAGACGCATATAGTTCGCTCTAAAAATTTATATTCTATCATAATTTTCTCACCCTAATTTACTCCAATGGGGACTTATAGAAAGAAAGTCATACTAGTTTGCAATGACATGAGGGTGAGAAAATGAGGACATAATATACATTTTTGTATGAACTATCCCTTTAAGGCCATGTAACTCACTCTGTCTGAGATATTTTCACATGTGCCAATGCGTTCCGTCTGTGACCATTAGTGTAATGTTTGGGCATAGGCTTGACCGAAAGGGAAGTGTCTCTTTGTCTTACGACACTTACCCTCACTGATACTTCTCTGGAAGGTCTTATTGTTGAGCAAGTCCTGCATGGTGTCATGGTGAATGAGTCTCATCCTCCTTCTCTCAGCTGCTAAACTGTGCTCCACCTGCTCTTGGTGTGTGCAGGGCACAACCTGCTTCAGCTGCGCCTGCAATCACAGCCCAGAAAGATGTCTTATCTACATATTACCTTTTTGCTAATAACTGGTTATGCAGAGTAAAGGTGCATTCAAATGCTGTGCTGAATGCAATTGTATCAGCCTAGTTTATTTGCATGCCATTTGCAGTGTGTCCTTACATAAGATATATATGTATATATATATATATATATATATATATATACTGTATATTACATATTCCACAGCCATAACAAAAAAGTAAACCTAATCAGTTTATGAAATATATTTTTCCCCATTAACTGAGATGTAAGTGGGCCTAGCATATTTATAAAGATTATTAGACACATTATTATTGCATTGTTTTTTCATACCTTGTTTGCATCTGTGCGTCTGGCGACGAATGTGGCAAATGCCTGACACACTCTCCAATGACGGCCACTGTACAGGTCCTCACAGATGACTTCTATCCCCACCTCACACACAAACACCATTACATACAGTCATTATTACCATTCTACTTATACAATACTCTACTTAAACAATAAGAAGACAACAGTATTTTAGAACAAGGTGCTAGGGGGTTCATAAAAATTTAGAGAATTGCTTTTGATCGATTTTTTTCTTCCAGACTGTATTTTTAAGCCTGTCAAGTATGATATATTAACTAAAGCCATATGCTTGACAAATTATTTGAGCACTGAATTTGTCATTACTGTTTAAAATTGGATTAAAATAACCAACAGTCCATTTACAAATAATTTTTAGACTATTCCTTTGACAAGGCAGTTTTTAACAGTAAAGATAGTTTCATTTAGTATTTATATGGTTTTGTGAAAATATATCTAATTGTATTTAAATATATATATATTTTTTTTTATTATATATATATTAAGTTTCTCCTCACCACTGTCCCTTTTAGCGTTCTTGCTCTATGGCAATATTCTCTCCTAATCTTTGGAAAATATTTACACATAACTGTTTAAAAATTCTACAAATAAATTTGAATCAAATTCAAAACAGTTCTCTTATCATCTACAGTACACTAATACTATAGTAATATAGTAATACTGGGTAGAAAAAAGATATCTAGTAAACAAAGTAGTACCGTCAAATCGATTAATCACGATTAATCCAATCTAAAATAAAAGTTTGTGTTTATATATATATATATATATATATATATATTATGTGTGTGTGTGTGTGTGTGTGTGTGTGTGTGTGTGTGTGTCTATGTGTGTGTGTGTGTGTCTATGTGTGTGTAATGTGTATGTATACACACACACACATATATATAATATATATAAATATAATAATGTATTTACACACACATATATTATATAAACACAAAATTTTATTATTTTAATCGATTAATAGCAATTAATCGATTTGACAGCACAAATACAGAGTAATTATTTTCCAGATATTTTAAGGATCTGCTGTAATGAAAGTCCAGTTATTTTACTTCGGACTATATGCTGTCTTTATAATATAACTTCATCTTTTTTTTTTGAGACAGTATTTGTAAATGGCTGTGCCTTTTGATTATCATACTTGGCTTGAAAACGTCTAAAGTGTAACACAATAGAAAGAAAAACTCTGGGAAAACATCTGTAGGTCTTAGAGTAACTTTAAAAAAACACACAAAAAAAAACATATACAATGTGATTTGATTAAAATGTGTCTGTTACCTCCATGCTTGAGTTGAAGGCCCTGTTGACTTTGGCTTTAATGTTAACCACTTGTCCAACACTGAAAAATATACGTGAGTGATAATGACAGTGTCTCATTAGTGATATATTAGAGGTTGTTTTCCATTGGGCTTGTATTCCTGAGACTCTCCTCACTAATCAAAGTTTCCTTTGATTGGTGTTGTTTTATTAGAACAGTCTGACAGGCTGGCAGAGTAATTAACAATATTCTGTCTAATAGCAGTTTAATAGCACAATAAACCAGACAGAACTGCCAGTACTCCCTAAGGCGAAATGACATGCTGGTTAGGATATTTTTCAAAAGACACTGAGATGTGGCTCTAATTATCTAAAACATGAGTGATATGTCTTCTGTACCCGATGGTGTGCTCGAAGTAGATGTCATCAACAGAAGCTGTCACACAGAGGCATCCAGCGTGTCTCTCCGCTGGAATACAAGCAGATCTAAATAAGTCATGTTGACACTAATGAATCTCACTGCATTTTAACAGATTTACCTGTTCATGACTGACAGATGAAAAAATGTACCTACAAATGTATCCCATATTGTGTTTCCAGTGATGCAGTCACATGCACATCTAGATTATTTGCTCTAGGTTTGCTTAGTCATTGCAAACAAGTCCTCAATATTATTCTTACACTCATATCCTTATATAGAGAATTTCTGGAGCCTTTACAATGTAGGTTAAAGGTGCTTCGCATCACTCATTGTGCAAACTCACCAGACAGACATGCTGTGCAGTCCATCCATTTGAGCAGCTGTCCGATGCTCAGTTCTCCGCAGTGGTTGGCATGGCAGGGCAGCACTATCTGGCTCATCTTCACCTCTGAAGGGTTGCGATGCTGCTGCCCTTTATCCTCCAGATGAAGGTCATGCAGATTGTTCTTAAGTTCGGACTTTGATGCCATGCTGACGAGCTGAAAGTCCGGCAGCTGAGAAGAACAATAATAATGTTCAAAGTTAATATTAGAAACTGGAGTTTTGTAACAGTTTTAAATAGCAATCCCATTAAGTATTTGGACACTTAACCAAACCTGTGAAGGTCATTGAATAAGATAACTAGAAAGTGATCAAAGGATCTTCATCTTATTTTGATCCCTATATGTATTTTTTATAACAAAAACTTTTTTTAAGTCTGATATGTGCTGCCTTTTTAAATAATAATAATACATGTTTGATATTCTATCTAATGCAATGACATTCATACATTTCAAACATGTTCATGTTAACAAATACTGGGTATAGGCTACTGTTTATTACTTTTGCGTAATGCTAATTATTAAATGCAGACCTAAAAGTACATTTTACACCCCAAAAAAGTTTATGTAGGCTACTGTATGTATGAAGCCATAAGACATTGGTAGATGTAAACATCTGTTAATGAGAGAAATAAAGGGACATAATCACAATTATGAATTTAAGACTACTAATATAAACAGTTGTAGGCTATTTTATATGTACAAACAATATAAGCATAGCTAATAATTGTAACAAAAAGAGAAAAAAAGTGAAGATAAGGTTAAAAGCTTGCGGTGTCAAAATGCCAGCGTGTTATGGCAACGACGTCTCAGATAGTCTGCGTAAATAAATGACTTTCGAGTGATTTGTTACAATTACAAAAGTGCACATCAAATGTCCAAAACACTGAAGCTCGAACGTGCGTGTGCATAGTGCGTGTGTCACGCGCTAGAACAGACCTCATTGGTTCTCGCGCGTCACGCACGCACGCGCATTTGCGCTTCTTATTTTCAAACACACTTGAAGCTGCACATGGAAGTTTTTTCCCAACATAATTAAAATTAAAATTAAAAATCAAATACAGATGAGTTTTAACTTGATTTTTGATACAGTTCATGCTTCCACGAATGAGGAAATGAAATAGCATTTGAGCATAATTGATTTATCATTTGTGCAGCCATTTTGAGAGTTTGATTTATTATTTAATAATTTGACCATTTGATTTATTATTTGAGCAGTTGGTTTGAGACTTTGATTTATTACTTGGTTTTTTTAAGCATTTTAATTTTAATTATGTTAGGAAAAAACTTCCATAGCCGCATATACCGCCACCTACTGTAGCCTACAACACCTGCGTCACAGCTGACGTAAAATAAAGAATAATAATAAAAAAAAATACTTAATCGGCCCCGGCACTCTATTTTCTTTATTTTTTTGTTCATTCACTTATTCACTTATGTATTTTAACCTTTTAATGTATTTATTTACTCATTTAATTGTTTATTTTTATCTTATTTTCCTTATTTATTTACTTTTATATTTTTTAACGCTGTTTTTCTCTAAACCTTTCCATAAGCTCCCTAAAACTCCTTTGCAGCCCCCTGGCCTGGGGTCCATGAACCCCCAGTAAAAAAAAAAAAAAAAAAAAAAAACGGACTGGACCTGCTTAAACTGAACCTTTTTTTTTTTTTTTTAAATGCATTTGCCAGCAGACTAAACATCATGAGTACTTCAGATATAGGTTTGCTATACTAACTGCACGGCACAGTTGTACTTCTAGTTCGGTAACTACTGATAATTGCGCAAACCTCAATAAACCTCTGAAGTGACACTCCTCACATCCACACCCTTCATTGAGTAAAACTGAGATACATTCCTGTGCCATGCCAATAAGATTTGTCAACAAATTCACTTTAACATAAGAATAGATGTGTGTTTGTGTTCTGCGCAGCGCCTTGCTTTACAATGGACCGAATATACGTGAAATTGTTGAATGACTATGCAGAACGGCATCAAAACACGTTTTAGCTGAGACGTGGCTTGATGCATAGACATAAAGTATCATTCACGCCCTTACCGCGATCTTCCTTGAGAGTCTGGTTAAATTCAACACAGCAAAATCAACTCCAGTGAATGACAGACACGGAGTGTTCACGGAAGCGCTGCAGAGCACGAGAGCTCAGCAAAAACCTCTTCAGTCGCGCGCGTGTAGTGTTCACTAACAAAGTAAGTTAGCCTATTCACTAAGACCCCGCCCCGTGTCTCATGTTTAGCTACATGTGTTTGTGTAAAGTTCACGAAACTCTTAGGATCCTTATTGTATGATCTCTCTCACATAAAAAACCATAACAAACTTAAAAGAAAACAACCGTGTTTGCATTCAGCACGGAATGTGTTGACACCTGCGGTTTATCGCTTATGTTGCTGTCCGACAGGTGGCGCAATAAGTCTTTGAAAGCATCTGGATAGCGCTTCAACTAGAGTCATGAGTCAACAAAGCTTTGTAAGCATAATTGTTAACATTTACAACAGTACCAAAGCACGTACAGTAGCCTACAGAAATATGTATTTTATTACATTAGGTAGGTGAAAATATTTTAAAATAATACAATAAAATAGTTGAGAGAATTAATTTAGGTACTGTAATAAATCACTAATTGGATAAATAAATCACTCACTAATGTAATAAAAATGTGTTTTACATATACTATATTGCCAAAGCATCAATGCACACGATAAAACCAAATGACAGAAAAAAACATGTTATTAAAAATAACAAAATAACCTTTATTATGATTATCATTTTTAAAAAGAAATACTCAGATATACAGAGACAACACATGATCAAAGCAATTGCAAAATACTACCCGTCGATTTTTGAAGAAGATGTTTTTATTGTTTTAACTTTTATGCAGATAAGGGGGATCGTGAGGTCACGTCTAATATTTTGATTGGCCTATGAAGCTGTCAATCATGCACCGCGGGTTCCCGCCCACACACAGTTCATGCTCTGGCTGTGGCAGGGTCGGTTGAAGCGGATGGGGTCAGAGGCGGGCTACACGTTGACAGCTGGAGCATTGAGCACAAGGAAACATCGCAGTCAAGCTGGCAGACGCGTTTATCCTCAGCGCAAGTCATGTTCGCGAAAGGTAAAGGGACCGCGGTTCCATCGGACGGGCAAGCTCGGGAAAAGTAAGCGCTGCTCTCTCTCTCTCTCTCTGTCTTTACACGCTTATTTACACGCACAGCTGATGTTGTGTTATGTCATTATGTCTTCTAAAACAAGTGTCTTGTTCAAGACATTTCAGTGATGTTATAGTGAAAACTGAAAAATGTTTCGTTTTAATGTCTTTATTTATTTGCTATAAATGTAAGTTTTTAATTTTAGTTTTATTAGAGCATAATAGCCTATTTATTTCGCAACATGCAAGTTTGCAAACGCCCATGGTGGTATCAATTAACGTTATTGTTTTGGAAATACAGTAGCCCATACTAGACTCAAACAGTTGTTGGTGGAAGAAAACTGCAATGATGATTCTCTTGGACAAGAATAAGACTGTGTTATTAAAATGTAGAAAAAAAAACAGACAGTTTAATTGGATTAGATCAGTTTTTATTGTGAGGCATCTGTTTTACTGTACAGGTTGGCATTATACGTCTATGAATATTTGCTACACGTGGGAGCTCAGAAATCCGCACAGACGTTTTTATCAGAGGTGTGTATGTGCATATGCATATTTATACTTCAGTGCATGATCATGTGCATTGACCAATCTTGTTATGTATTCGTTATGTGTGTGTGCTAAAGGCATCTGCTGTCTGTTTTTATTATTTTTAGATAAGATGGGAGAAGAACATAACCCTTGGAGAACCTCCAGGCTTTCTGCACTCTTGGTGGTGGTGTGTATTAACTCTACTCAGTAGTTGATCAGTCTTTTTGCTGTATATGGAATGTTTACAATATGTTATACACTTTAGAATAATTGAATAGAATGGATACCAGACAGTGACATTCAATGATATCTGGCTACTTGGCTTTGACTTGGTTTGGGGAATATATTGAAAGAATCTGCAAGGAAATCAAGAATTACTTTTATTATGATTTAGGCTAACTGAAAATATTTGGGTTCAATACAACACTAAGCATAAAAAGTAAGTTAATCTCAACAGATAGCCCATAGTCTTAATACTGCCTTATCAATGTTATGATCAGTAAGTGTAACCGTTGTGACACTGCAATATCTTCTCATTCCAAACAATGCTGTCACTACGCAGTGTGTTTTGGGACCTGTACTGTGCAGCACCTGAGAGAAGGGACACATGTGATCACTCCAGTGAAGCGAAGGCCTTCCATGACTATGTAAGTGATGCGTGTTTAATTCACCCCTCACTAGCGTGACAGAAGAGATCTGCTGTTTCACAATGAGATAAAACCACTGAAATGTTACTCTGTGGTGTGAAGCAGAATATTGATTGCAAATATGAGATTGCAGCTTATTTGTTGTTTTAGTTCCAGGTCAGCTTTGTTTATCCTCGTTCCATTAAATGTTAAATTGGTATTGAGTATCGTTTTTTTTTCAGATTCGCGCACTTGATTTGAATTTGATTGCACATTTAGAGCATGACTGTGTCCGGTTTGTGTGAGCTTGTAAACAGGAAAGCATTTCCTTCACATTATATGCATATTCTTGGAAATTATGGGATCAATATACTGTTGAATGAATATGCCTTGAATGTCAGAATATTGATAGTATTATATAACAGTGTACATTGAGTGATTGTGTGTACATGCTACCAGTACTCACTGCCCTTGAATGGGAACGTAAAAGTGCTTATGAAGCACATGTAAAATTAGACTTCCACCATGTTGGAACCAGGAATGATGCAGTTAAGTAACGAGTTATAAAATCGAGTTATTGCGCTAAATAACCATCCGTGACCCTGACAAAGACGTTTTGTTAATCGCTTGGTTTGTATTTCAGTGGTGTCGTGCAGTGTAGCCGCACTCGCCATGAAATGTCATTGATCCAAAAACCTGCACATACCGGTACTTATAAAATTAACATTAAATATGTCCTGATGCAGTTTCTCATTCAGACAAATTGCTTGTTGCATCACTCTTGGTTACTGGAAGTGTTACAGGTGAACTAGAATCCACAAAATGTGTCTACTACACCTGGCCTCTTAATTAGAAAGCTGGACATTTGCCTCTTCAACTTGTGATGTTTGATGGAATGTAGACATTTAATGCTCTTTGTTTAGGTAATTGACTTGTCAATGTCCTCCGCCATTCAGGGTCTTTTAGAGTACTTTGATGCATTGACCACAATGGCTTTGGGTTAATACTTGTACGTAATGAATGGAAAAACTTCTGTTATTTGAAACAGAAATCAGTCTTACACAAATCTGCCCAAATCCTAGAGTTTTATAATGCTGTAGATGTTCTTAGGCTGGATTAAGTTGAGTAAGCTGTGAGGATTTATTTCGTAGTTGTGGAGCTTTGGTCCCTTCCACAACAGACACTCTAGCAGGTTGCATAACTTTAACTCTAGTGCAATGGCAATAGAATTACAATTCAAAGTAGGAAACTCTTAAAAATACTACAATCCTTCAAAAATTTGGTAAGTAATTTATTTGGAAAGAAACTAAGGCATTTATTAAGCAAGGATGCATTAAATTGAACAAAAGTAACAGTAAATAGGCAAAAAAAATTGAATGTTATGAAATATTTCCATTTCAAATAAAAAACTTTCTAATCATCAAAGAATCCTGAAAAAATTATCACAGTTTCCACACAAATATCAAGAAGAACAATTGGTTTCGACATTGATGATAATAATAAATGTAACATAAATCATGTGACACTACACACTGGAATAATGATGCTAAAATATATTCAAATAGAAAACAGTCATTTTAAATTGTAATAATATTACTGTTTTTACTGTATTTTTGATCAAATACATGCAGCCTTGCTTTGAATAAGAGACTTCTTTCAAAAACATTCAAAAAATCTTACCAATATTAGCCTTTTGAACAGTATTCATGTTAGTTTTACATGTTTTTTTTGTTTTTTTCAAGATGCAGTATAATGTGGAAGGTCTTTATCCGTCATTGTGCCATTAAATTATGGCAGGCAGTTCTCATGGGATTACCTTTACAACCTGAAATGGTGGTCGGTTGTGGTGGGATGGGGGAGGGGAGCTTACAAGATCTGATAATGGTGAGGTCTCCTCTAGCTTTTTAGCTTTTTAACCCTGACACAGCAGGAAAATGTGTCGCACCCGCCCCACCTCCCTTCAGGGAAAAAAAATAAACTAGACTCAGAACACAAACCTCTCTTAGTAGAAGTACATGATTCAGTGATTTGACTTGGATGGCAATTAAGTACTGGTATAAGTTTTCCGGTCACAGGAATGTAGCGGACAGTCAAGGGAGGGGCTTTGCTTTGTCACACCTGACAGATTTTTTGAGTGAGCAAGCTAAATGTTGGTTTGAGCAACAGCTGAATGCAAAGGAGTTTGTTGGAAATCATTGATTTGACTGTCAAATCTTCTTACTGCTCATTTTTCCTCACACCTTTGAAGGTGGTGTGGCAATCAGCATTCACTAGTTGGCCATTGAAAGTGTGAAGACCCTCCAGTCCCCTGTGTATTCTGTAATGATAGTAACATGCATTGATTGCTTTGATCAATCAGAGGTTGACAGAATCCAATGCAAGGTCACACTTATGATCTCAGTCCTTGTGTCTCCTCCTGAGGCTCTCGTCAGCCATGTACACAAACACATGATGGGGTCATTCCATTGAATTCTATTGTTTTTATACTGAGTTAATAATGATATTTACCCTAAATCAATACCCTATCTGTGAATGTAACCCTCACTTGACCTTTTTCTAGGGGTGCTCAATAAATCCGTGACTCTCAATAGTGACAACAAATTAAGAGTTAGTTCCTATACGACTTAATCACTTGTATTAAAACAAGGAAACAAATTAGTAGAAGGTGGCCACAATTGAACTAAATGTTGGAAACTCTTAAAAACAAAGGACCATGTGACACTGAAGTCTCTAGTAATGGCTGCTGAAAATTCAGCTTTGCCATCACAGGAACAAATGATATATTCAGGGTTTTTCTTGCATTTAAAAAAAAATTGGCGGAAGCCAAAATGAATCTTTGTCCTTCCAAAGATTTATTTGATAATTTGATAGGACAATGTACCTGCTGTTCTGAAGTACTGG